AAAGGTTTAATATTCTTCGCCTTGAGACATCTCCGAATAGTTTCTCGTGGAATATTCAAATCTAAAGTGGCATTCCTTATACAGGCATTAGGATTATTTCCGAAATAATCTAAAATAATTTCATCATTCCTATTTCGTCTTTGTACAGGATTACTTTTTAACATCATTTTTGATACTGCACCAGTTTCATTGAATATTTTATTTATTTTATTTACCGTACCGCAGCTAATACGAGGACGATCTGGATATCTCTCATTAAATACTCTACAAACCTCTCTAGCACTTCTAATGTCATCTCCCGAAAGGCGTACAATTTCAATTTTCTCTCTTACGCTCAATCTTGCAGCCATGACACAAAATAATTCGAAAAACTGTAAGGTGAATATTGTTAACAATAGTACACTTAAATCTTTCACAAGTGTCAAACTGTAATATCATTTCCATGGCAACTAAGATTTACATTGAAATATTAGGTCTTAGTTTTAGTTAATTTGCGAGAAAACTTGAATGTAATTCCGTTATTTTCATTAAAAATATTTACGCTATTTGTTTGTTTTTTTTTTAAAATCGCTAATAAAAAATCCCGATTTTCGACTAAGAAAAAATATCGTAGTATGCCCTGAAACTTCAATAAACATTTCAAAATTTATCCCAAAGTAGACCTTTTAGTACTTGACATTTAGAAAAAAAAATTATTGAAATCGTGTTACAACTTCAAATTTTAGGGGGGTGTTCCCATTAAAAATGGGTCACACTGTATATAAAATAACTGAGTCGCGTTTAATTTTTTATGTATACATAGAAAACACCTAGACTCAGGGCGAAATCAAACGTACGCATACTCTACGCGTGGGCTGCTCTGTATTAACACGCAGCCAACCCTCGTTGAGCACGCATAGAGCCTGCGTATGTCTGAACCCGCCCTTAGGACGTCATCCATGCCTATATCGGGAATTGTATTTAGGAATGTTGGTAGAAGGCAAAAAAATACATCACATGATTTAGTCAGTCAGAGTACGTAAAGAAAAGGGGCCCGAATATTGTATTGCCTACAGACCCATACAGGGTTAATCCGGCTCTGCTTCAGGGTATGTTTGGGGGCAGAACTCCATACATGAAAATAATACTCCAAAGATGATCTGATCTGAGCTTTATAAAGCATCAGAAGTTGCTGAGGTGTGTATAGTTTTCTGGTTCGGAAGAGTGTTCCAAACTTTTGAGAAACAGCATTTGCAATTCCAGCGACCAAAAATAAAATTTTCTTCACTGTAAGGTAGCTAAAATTTTGACTGGTTCGTATATTACTCAAGTAAGTAGCTGGAGATTGATCAATGAACAAGTATTTCCATCTCTTATTGCAAAATACCACTAATAAATATACTCATGAACTCGCATAAAGAATTCTTCTGTATTAGAAACTATTAAATTCATCAAATACTCACTAATAGGCAACAAATTAAAAACTCGTTTGTATTACATGTTGTATAAGCAGTGTGCGGGCCGCTTGCAAAGTAATTATTTATAATAAATATTGTTATAATGGTCTGATATAAATAATAATTTCTGTAATTGCAACTTTCGTTCTTTTCAATTCTTCAAGAGAAACCAGAAACAGTAAGTTCACGAAGGAATTCATAAAATTTGAATTGATAATCAAGTATGAAACTAGTTCCATGACGTTGAAAGCAAATGATCTATATTCAGAAAAAATGTAGCAAGGTGAATCACATCATCCAAAAACGATGATGTCATTGAATCCTGTTTACGCTTCCGTAATTAATTTTAAAATAAATTAAAATCCCTATTTCAAGGTGGATATATAGGATTTCCTCGTTATCTTCTACTTAGTGAATGAATAAATTTGAGGAAGAAGACCGCTTTGATGGTGAAGAAGTGATTGCAAAAACTGAAACTGTTCCAATTAACGTCAGTTCTTTACTGTTTCAATGGAAACTCTCAAGGAGACTTGTTATCTTTGAAATATTCAGAGTATTTCTCATTTATGTCATTCATCTTTGTAAAAAACAACACTGCAGGAACATTCCTGATGGTGATCACGAGGTGATCTGCTATGTTCAGCCTCATACCAAGCGGTAGATTGGGGTGGACATTTCTGTTCTTTTTCAAGTTCACGTATTGAGTTTGCATCACCGGTTAATTTTTTTCTGTTCAATTTCCTTAAGGAGATCAGGGAAATCAAAACTATGAGCATTCTAGTTTAAGTTTCAGGTCAGCTAACGTTCCTCCCGTTTCTTGATTAAAGTGCCGTAAAATTTCGGTCAGCTGCTGTTTATTCAAATTCTGCAAGAACATCTGGACCATTTTGAAAAAAAAATCGGGGTCACCAATCATGGAATTATTTCTTGCTTTTATTAAAAATGTTGGTGTTGGCGGGAATTTGTCGTTTTTCGCTTGATTAGAGGTTTCCATATGTTACGTATCTCTACGGTAGCTTGACTAAATGCGTTGTTGGACAAAATATACGAGGCTTCTTTGAATTTTTCTCCTAAACCAGTGTTCCTCTTTGTGGATTATTTCAGCTTGAGCCCACTTGATGTTATGTTGATGAGTCCAAACATGCACTGCTATTCCGGATTTGCTGGTTTCTCCTCGCTGTGTGTGTTTCTTGTGCTCAGCAATGCGAACTTTCAATGGCCTCTTAGTTTCACCGATGTATGTTTCTCCGCACTCGTAGGGTACCCAGTAAATGCAATTCTTGGAATCGCAGTCCGCGTTTGGTGGCCTGGTTTTTGTAATGACCTACAACGGACTGGTTACTCCAGAGTGATGGTAGAACAGGCCTTAGCTAGAAGACAGCAAAAACTCCACAAGGAAGAGAAGCTTGCACAACCAGTACTTGTACTTCCCTACATCAGAGGATTATCGAAAAGGATAAGAAGGATTGGGTCCAAGTACAACATCAGGATCTGCTTCAGATCTAGGAATACCATCCGTAGCAGTCTTACAAAAACCAGGCCACCAAACGCGGACTGCGATTCCAAGAATTGCATTTACTGGATACCCTGCGAGTGCGGAGAATCATACATCGGTGAAACTAAGAGGCCATTGAAAGTTCGCATTGCTGAACACAAGAAACGCACACAGCGAGGAGAAACCAGAATATCCGGAATAGCAGTGCATGTTTGGACTCATCAACATAACATCAAGTGGGCTCAAGCTGAAATCACCCACAAAGAGGAACACTGGTTTAGGAGAAAACTCAAAGAAGCCGCGTATATTTTGTCCAACAACGCATTTAGTCAAGCTAGCGTTAGAGATACGTAACATATGGAAACCTCTAATTAAGCGAAAAACGACCAATTCCCGCCAAACGGTCATCTCCCGCTAAAAACCAATGAAGCAGAAAAGTGAAGCGGGGATAGGTGAAAGCACTGGAGCGACCTATAAATAGTCGGAGGAAATAAGTCCAGTTATCACCCGAAGACGATTGTGGATACTAACAATCGAAACGTCGTGACATAACTTGGTTTGGAATCTTTTAATTTTTATTTTTCATTTTTTGTTAATAATAATTTTTAATTTTTATTTTTTCCAGCTTTTCCATAATATTTCAATTTTTATTTGTTTGGTTGTTGCTTGTATGTTATTTCTTTGTAATTTCAGTTTTTTTCTGTTCAAATAAAATTGTTATTTTCGGTTAACTTTTTCAATTGTTTTTTCAGGGTTTTCAAATCAATTTATATTATATTAGACAATGGAAGTCCGAACTGATGATAGGTCACCACAACTCGTTTGAATGAAAAGTAATTATTTTGACTCATCTGTAATAATTTTGTAGACATTTTTTTGTAATTTTTATTGGGACCTATGATTTGTTTGTAAAATAATACAGCCCATGTTTCTCGCTGAAAATGTAGCTTTCGATACATGAAAAAAATTGGGAAAAATATCAAGTAGTATTTGAGTTCATTCGTAACAAACAAACACGATAATTCAAATATTTTCCCTTCATAATATTAGTTTGAAATGAAATGAATGAAATTTAGAATCGAAATTATTAAATAATCAATATCATCATTTGAATTGAAAGGGTTATATTTTTAGGAGTGATTAATTTTTTGGGAAAGAAAGTTTTTGGCTTTCTACTACTCCATCTAATACAAAAAAAAGGGATGAGAGAATTTTCCAAAGAAAGGAAGGAAGTATTCAATTTGAAACTCCATACATGAATGTGTAGATCATGTGTGTAATTTCTATAATGTTATCCAATTTGGTACTGAAGAGCCTTAGGGCAAGTGTTTTAAGGCGAAACATCGGTGTATACCAGTGAGGGTGACAGTGTTCCATGTGAGTACAATTTATTACCATTCATTCAAAGTAGAACTCATGTTTATGATATCTGATTCTTATTCCACAACAAATGTTTGAAATACAAACTGAGTAGAGAAAAGTATCTTCTGTATAATTCAGTGTTCATATAGAAGTATTTGTTTCGAAAGAATTATTTTCTTTCGTGTAATTCAATGTTTATATGGAAGTAGCTGTTTCAGGAGGACTTTCTTTCAGTTTGTGTCTGAAAGTTACTTCTTTGCATGATCTACACATTCATGTATAGAGTTTCAAATTGATTACTTCCTTCCTTTCTTTGGAAGATTCTCTCATCCCTTTTTTTTGTATCAGATGGAGTAGTAGAAAGCCAAAAACTTTCTTTCCCAAACAATATCATCACTTTTACATTAGATTTTTCACTCTGTAAGAGAATAACAATAAGATCATGAATGGATTTTGAATACAATTTAGGAAATATTGCCACCCTCACTCAAATCTTCAGTTGCATCATGATCCACACTTATTTTTACAGTATTTCCTGAAAAGAATTTCGGAAGGTTGAATTTTTCTGCGACATCATTAAAAGGAAAACAATCCCACCAGAAAATAATTATATCAGCATCATCACCTGTTCCGATTCGCCAAAAGAGAGTACAGCACATACTCTAGGGAGTGTTCCAGGGTCGTACCAGCCAAGGTTGTGCCTCAGTATAAAACTAAAATGAGAGCTGCGGGGGGCAGTAGTAATAGTAGACTTGCCTCTTTAGAAGCAGTCACCGCCGTTGTCCGCCATGTTGAGATTAGTGAGTATCAAAAAATAATTGTCATCTTGATTCGAAATTGTTTGGTGTACCTGATTTGGCAGATTTCGGGGGGCTTCCGTGGCCAAACCCGGCGGTGAAAGGATCGCTTCCGCTTTTGATGCGGATGACCTTAAGTTACGTCGGGTTTCTTTGTGTCCACGTCCTTGATTCTGCAACTTGTCGTCTTTTCTTTGATGTACAGTGTGGATAAAAATATAGAAGCTACCGGACTTCGTTCGATCTCGATGTATTTCAACTCTTCAACTTTTTAACACATCCTCATTAAAAGAAAAACTAATAAATAGAGTTTATTCTATGATTTTCACTATAAGGGTTTTGCAAAAACCGCAGCGGTTTTGTAAAACCCTTATAGTGAAAATCATAGAATAAACTCTATTTATTAGTTTTTTAAATATGGATTTTCATCAAGTATCGGCCAGTTCTATTCAATCATCCTCAGTAAGGAAAAAGAGCATTTTTCTTCATTAAATGAATAGTTTCCAGAATTTTTTACAAAGAACCACTTCAAATGACAGAAAATTAATCTTAACATAAACAAATCAGTTCACTGTGACTTTCTGCAAACTTTTGGAAGAATATCTGGCTCACAAGTGAATTAAAAATAAAAATAACCATAAAAATTAATTAGCGCTCCGGGGCGACTTCATTGATTCCAAAAAATCAAAATAGATTGTTGAATTGTTGAATAAAAAAAAGAATGAATGAGAGAATTTTTTTCTTGTCCTCATTTCGAAGTCTCTTCTAATTAGTCCTTCTTTTTCTTCAACATTTTACCATGTTACTGATAGAGTTTAATTTTTCACTTCTTCTTCTATCATTTTACCTCTTTTTCTTTGTATTTCCTCTGTTTTTGGAGCTTTCTTTCGGTTCTGACGAACATCACATGCATAGATTTCCGATTGGTTGAATGTGATTTTGATATTGAAGAATTTCAGCCCTTCAATATGGTTTTTGGATAAAGAATTTCAGCCCTTCAATATGGTTTTTCGAAATCCCTGGTTGCGTTCTACTCTTTGACACATCTCTGATTCGAAAACAGGGCATTCTTCTCTCCTCTCGAAGAAAATTGATAGTTATAGTTTTCAGAATTTTTCACAACTAATCCCTTTCAATAACAAAAAATTGATCTCAACATAACGTATGAATTCACTGTGACTTTTCCCAAATTTTTCGAAAAATATCTAGCTCACAAGTGGATTGAAATTGATAATAATTAATACAAATCTAATTGAATGGAAAAAGCAGTGAATGGGGAAATTGTTTTCTTGTCCCTTCAAATTTGCCTTTTTTTTTCATCGTTCCACCAAATTAATGATAAATTCTAATTTTTGCTCTTCAACTCCTCCTTTCCCCATTTCTACTATCATCTTTGGATTGCTTTTGTCTCTGAAACTTTCTTTTTCGGTTCTGTTGACCATCATATGCATACTGTATTGATGGGGTGAATGAGATTTTGATATTAAAGAATTTCAGCCCCTCAATATCATTTTTGAATATCCTTGATTGCATTCTACTTTTTCCAACACATATTTATTACGAAAATGGGGCATTTTTCTCGATAAATTATATAGTTTTCAGGCTTTTTCACAAATAATCATTTTCTATGGAAGAAAAATGATTTCAACGTAAAAAAACAGCTCATAAGTTAATCGAAATATTTGATGATAGTCAATAAAAATTTTGTTGAATGAAAAAAAGAATAAATAAGACAATTTTCTTCTTGTCCTCATTTCGAAGTCTCTCGAAATTTGTCCTTATTACACAATGTTACTAATAAATTTTAATTTTTTCGCTTCAAGACCCTGTTTTCCACTTTCACTTTCATTTCGACCGTTTGTCTTTGTATTTTTTTAATTCAATAGGTTCAATAGGTTGCATACTAATGTTTGTCACATCTCTGATTTGAAAATAGGACATTTCTCTCTCCTCTCGAAGAAAATAAATATTCATAGTTTTTAGAATTGTTTGCAACTTCCAATAGCAAAAAATTGAAAAAATTTATTGTGTTAAAACGAATAAATGAGAAATATTTCATTGTTCTTTCATTATGATCATTGGAAATTCCTCATTGTATTCTATTGTATAAAACAACTACAATATAGAAATAAATACCTCCTGAGTTTAGAATTTTCCGAAACTAATCTCATTAAAATATAATTGATATCGAAATCACCATCGGCAATTTCTCAACTTCATTTGAACTTTTTCGAAATCTATTCAAAAAGTTACAGTTATTAAGAATAAATAACAATGGACAACATTAATTTTATCAAAAAAAAAGGTGTCCTTCATTGGATTCCTTCTGGAGTTTTCTTTCTGTTTTATCATTGTTTGACTCTGCTACAGACACATTATAGATTTTCCAATAATGGATTTTTTTCACCTCCACTCCCAATTCATCATTTTGAGATTTCTTTGTTTCCTGTGTTATCTTCGCTTCAGAAATTCCATTTTTGTTCCTAATGTGATTGGGCATCAATGCTACTTCAGCTTTTATTACTTTTTAATCAAAATTCAAACTTGTGGCCTACGAAGAAATTTAAGAAATTTTTTTAAGGCAGTGAAAACACCATTTTTTTTATAGATTTGTGGAATAAAGCGGTTATTTTGATGGATTTAGCCGTTATTAGATAGTAGGAAATCAAAAATTTTTGTATATGTATGTATAATTTTGAAAATGTTCTCATAGGACGGAACTGCAGTAACGTTAGTTATAAATAAAAGTGGTAAAAACGTTACAAGTTTCTATTCTCTTTTTTTCATATAAGTTATTATGGTTTTGTCAAAAAATTATGGTCACTGTTACATTCATTGTAACTTCTATTCTAGTAATATTCACCAAGGTTCTATAATCTCATCCCGTAATCAAATTGAAATATGTGTTGTAGAGTTTTCGATTTTCCCATTTTTTTCCAACTAAACATAATATTTTGATATTCCGCTGCAAAGCTCTAATTATCTAACCATGAATTTGGATTAACAGAATACAAACAGTACTACAAAACGGTCATTCATACGGTTAAAGAAAAATAAATAAGAATATTTCTTATTAGATTCTAGATGAACTGATATTTTTGTTCTCCGCTCCAACTTAGGGCGAGGAATGAAATACTCTGAAAGAATTTCGATTTTCAATTATAGAATATCATTGACTTTAGGTCGATGATGGTCACTATCTTGCACTGACGAGTCGCTAAGGAGCCCGAAACCGGTCTGCAAGTGTGCCCGTTCCAAAATTGAGGGTCGAATCTTTCAGTTGTATTGCCAATTGCATATACGGGAAAAGTTTCTGTGAAGATTCCTGCACTTACGCCTGTCCAACGCCGTTCGTGGTATTAGGCAGGGGAGTAGTTGTTTTCTGATAGGCGTCAGTACATTCAACCTACTGTGTAGGTATATCCAAGACTGGCTTGAAAATTTAAAGTTCATTTCTTTAGATTTAAATAAGAATATTTGAGAAGTTTACAAAAAGTATAATTATGAATCGAATATCTAGTTTAAAACGAGAAGCATTTCTGAAGAAACTCCTTTGTATTTCAGGCCGAGAAAGCTTCCGGCTCTTTTATTCATAGCTTTTCTCTTGCTCTGTTTTTCCATTGAGTCCTTATTTATATTATATTCTACTATAATCATTGATTTGGCTTATTGACACTCAATTTCTTATCCCTTCTTTTTTTTCCTCCTTTATGGATGATATTCGAATCGTGAACTTTTAATTTGCTTATCATGACCACAACAATATAAATCATCTCTACTGAATTTTTTCAAATTAAGTTTAAGTTTGTTAAAAGACTTGAAAGGATAGTCGAAATTTTTTCTGATCGACTTGCCGTTACTTGATGAAGATCCATAGTAATTTCACAAGCTACACCTAACGATTTGATCTTCACAAACTTTGTCAAGTTAGAACATCGTTAGATGTTAGACAACGTTTAATTTTTTTTAACACGCTTTTATAATCTTCACCTGTATGTATGCACGTTTGTTTGTTGTCAGTTCGATTGTTTGTAACTCTCCTTTTCTTCTCATATTTATTCCCGTTTGAATGCTCAGGATCTGTATTGGACAGAATTATGGACATTATTGCTTGATCTATTCGCGGGCAGATGGAGCCATACGTAACCTCCTTGATATAATTCGAACTCACTTTAAATCTATTTCTTCAATTGAAAAAAGTTTTTTTTTATTAACGCGCGCGTTTGCTGCCTTATTTGTAACCCTCCTTTGCGCGCCTGCTGCCTTGGTTTTGGTAGCTGATTTTCGGGCTCCCTCTCCGAAATCGGAAAATATCAATGGTCATTTTTCTAATCAATATACGGCTGATTGATCCCAAAGTTCAGATAAAATAAATATAGTGCAGAAAGACTGAAAAACACGCTTTTATAGCATACGAAACTAAAAAATGAAAAATAAATATACTTTAAAAAACCACAAAACACGCTTTTAAAGAACATCGAACTTGAAAGTTGAATAGTTTTTTAAAATAAGCCTAAAACAATAACGAACGAAAAATACTAGTGTTATTGAAAAAAAGCGCGTGCGCTTTGTGCCATATTTTTTGTATATCAAGCGTCTGTCGCTTTCTCCACAATAGTACTTGTATTATTCCTTCGTTATCGTTTCAAGCTTATTAAAAAAAAAAAAATTTTTAGTTCGATGTTCTTCAAAAGCGTGTTTTTAGTTTTCTAAATAATATTTATTTTATATCAGTAGAGCATTGGTTCTTGGTTCTCTCGGTACTTAATTTCTCAAATCGAAACTGAACTTGAATTTCGTATTTCAGGTCACAGCACTAGCTTTAGTAGCAGCAGCTTTCGGGCAGGGCTACCATGGCGACCCAAGAACAGCTGCCATCCTAGCTGAAGACCGCTACCTTCAAGCCGACGGCAGATTTGGGGCCCAATACCAGCAAGAAGATGGAGTGAACTTCAAAGAAGAAAGTTCCCCGGACGGCACTCGAAAAGGTTCCTACTCTTACGTCGATCCCAACGGCCAAAGACATACTATCAGTTACACAGCTGGTAAACACGGATTCATGGCTACTGGAGATGGGATCCCACAGCCTATCCCCACCACCTTACCAGTGGCGCCTAGACCTAACTACACCCCACTGCCTCAGTACAACCCTCCTGAGTACTCTCAGCCTCGCCCACAGCCTCAGTACCAGCCACAGCCTCAGTACCAGCCACAGCCACAGCCTCAGTACCAGCCACAGCCCCAGCCTCAATACCAGCCACAGCCTCAATACCAGCCTCAGCCTCAGTACCGGCCTCAGCCTCAGTACCAAAGCACCACCCCAGCACCTCATAGGTTCTATCCACCTGGAAAGCTGAATTTGAATAGGTCTCCAGATGGTTTCCAGTTCAGTTTCAAGAGTGCTTAGAGAGTAGGAGAAGCCATTTACGATTATTGAAAAAGAGACTAATAAATATTTGTCAGCTCGCAAACAAGAGGTACTACTTTGGAGCTGATGGAGAATTTTTTTGAAAACTCTAACAGTTATTTCAATCTGAAGTGATACATTTTTCAACCTCTGTTAAAAAAATTCAATTATATGTAAATATTAAAAATCAACTTTTCTTATATGTTGAGGATATTTCGTGCTTGTAATATTTATTAATAGGATATTGAGTGAGGGTACTAGTTTGTGATAGTAGACTGATTGAATAAAAATTGAATCTGGTTAAAAGTTTAGTTTTTCATCATTATCATTCGAAATGAAAGGATTATTTCCACGAGTAACTAATTTCGTTTTACCACTGAAATATTATTAATGATGATTGATTGAAACAACTATTCTGTAAGTTCATTGCCACAAAGTATAATAATAGTAATAAAAAATACGTTTATTTGTAGCATCACAACAAAATTTCAGCGTATTTTTCGCTGATAATAATAACAGAAACTACAAATGAGACTAAAAACAATGCAATAATGGAAATGTAGCAGCAGCTGCTGCATTGGAAATTTCGTAAGGGACATTTTTGAACTCACTATCGCTGCTCATCTCCATAGTTAATTGCAATAATTGGGAAGAAAAACCATGCAAACTTTCAAAAGTAAAAATGTCAACTAATTTCGTGTCAAATTTTTCTGTCGATAGTTATTTCGTTGCTATGGTAATGATCAACTGCATTTGACATTCTTGCCCCCCAAATATGAGCTGCAGTTCTCGTGGTTTCGGTTCCCTCTCAGTGGTAGAGTTTCATGGAAGAATCACTTGGAAAGATCGACTGCAGCTTGAGAAATGGTTCTTATGCAGATTCTGTGGAACATGTTCCTCCTTACGAATCAGTAGACAATTGTCCTGAAAATCTTGCGAAAAAATTGGATTAGATAATTTAGAAAACACTTGCTACATGAATAGCATTTCATAAGTGTTGTTCATGACGAAGAATTTCAAGAACGAGGTTTTAACGATGAACGAGAACAAGAATGTTTCCTACTGAATTACCAAACTCAAACAATCGTTCATACAGTTGCAGTTTCGTAAGAATGTATCATCTTTTCCACCAATCGATTTCCTGGAGTCTTTGAAGACCATTACATACTCGTTAGGACAACAATTCTTTTTTNCTGATGGTCTATTTTAATCGTTCCATGGTTGATGTTCATGAAGTTTTCTAGAATTTGTTCGCTCGCTAGATATATACAAATTCTGTTGTTAGATATTCTGGATGAGAAAATGATGTTATTTGGTTGTACGACTGCGCCGAGTGCCACAAGATAATCTTCCAGTTTAACATTTTCTAGTGCGGTGAAAATAATTGCTTGTTTCTTGGAAGGAAAAATTGATGTTGTCTGGTTGAGTACTGATGAATATGTTTTGGTGGGTTGTTGTCGTTTGTAGGTTTGTTCATTTTGAGAAACCCTGTAGTCAGAGTTTCCCTGCTGAAGGTTTGAGTCCATGTTTACAATGGGTAGGTTAGATTAGATTTTTGAATACGGTCCTGTTAGACAGTACCATATGTGACCTCGGAGCGCTGATAAGGCGCTGTCGGTCAGCCTTCGGATGAAGTATTTCGATACCGATTTTACTAATCAATGTAAAATATCTAACTCAAATAGACTTACACTTTTGGTGCTGGTTAGGTGATGTTTTAATGATGGTGTCGCACAATTTGATGAACTCAAAAACAGTTAATTAGCTATTTTCTGGCAGACTGATAAAGGCACGTACGGAAGTACTCAATATCAGGGCCGGACTCCGACAACAATTCTTGCGGTCCTTGTTGAATACCCTTCGTGAGAAAAAAAAATAACAGAATCACTAGTCCTCACCACTCTGGATTGAGAAGTGTCACTAAATATTCTAGCGATATCTTGAATGTATTGTAGTCTCTGGAAACCCCCTACATTTTATTCTATGAAAGAGAGGATATTGGCAGATGATGTGGTGCTGCAGATTTTTCCGGGTTTTTCTGCAGCTGAAACAGCAAATGCGAAACTAGAATCAATCAGGTCGTCCAATTAATTTTTGTTGTTTTTGTTTCTTAATTTCATAATTTGTATACCAGAAAATAAATTTCCCAATTTGATTTGAAAAAAAATGGAATGAAGTAAAGTAAATAAATATCTCAGAAATGTTAAAAAACCATACCTAACAATATTTTATGATTTCGGGTTTGTACAATTCAATTATCATATGAAAGTAGTTCCCATTCTGAAGAGTTGAACTTGATTGTTTTCTTCTTTCTCTTGGTAGGTCCCACAATTTTTTATATAGAGATGAATAAGTGAAAGCCCAAAAGTTTTTTTCTACAAATTCATATTCTGCTCATATGTGTATATTTGGACAATGTCTGTTAATCTCAAAAAACAATCTATTGCACATTGCATGAATATGATTTATACTAACTATAATTTCAGCTCATTTTTGTTGTAACGTGACTCTTAGGCATAGCCTTGACTTCTTCGTATCGGACCCCACCCACCGATAGGAAAAACATTAAATTCCGGAACAAATCTATTTTGCTCGACTCTCCGCGATAATACAATGCAAAATACCAGTTTAACCGGAGCAACTAACTCCAACCAAGGCCATACGTTACATTGCACTTTCATTGAACGCTACTCTGAGAAATTGAAGGAAGTGAAAGAAACAAAGGTGTAGGAGCATGGAAATATATAGCAGATGTGATGAAATTTCATTTCATGATCCAGCAAAATGTACGGGCCTAATGCGCTCAATTTATTGACCTCCTATCTTAAAAATAGGAGACAAATAGTGAAAATTGGGGGGAATATAAGTCGCTAACGGTGTGCCTCAGGGATCCATTTTGGGACCTTTTCTGTATTTAGTACTTGAAAACGATCTATAAGTGTATCTAAATGGAAATTCTGCCACTCACTGTATATGTTACGCTGATGACACGAATATACTGGTTATTGAAGATGACCTAATCACTGTTACAAATATAGCTAAAAGCACTTTCAGTAGAGTTATCACTTGGTATGAAGAAAACAACTTGATAATGAATAAAACAATAACTAGTATGTTGCAATTCATGGTACGACGACAACACCATGAGGTGAGTCTATACCAGAATAACGAATTACAATTGGATCCCACAACTACTAAATTGTTAGGAGTTACCTTTGATAACAACTTGCAATGGAAGCCACAAGTAGACAATTTGTGTAAAAAGCTCAGAAATTCCTGTTATTTTCTCAGGTATCTCTCCACTCACTGCAGTCATGAGATTCTACTTACGCTCTATTATGCGAATTTTAATTCTCACCTCAGGTATGGAATACTGAACTGTCAATTGTCCACAATGTGTGCACTTCATCGTGGATTTTAATTGAGCAACGAAATTATCTACCATCTTAGAGTTATACAGGGCTTTCAAATTTGATCGTTTTAGTGCAAGAGAGTTTAAGATTATCAGCATTTATAAAAGTTCATGTTTGGAAAAAAAATATCGAAATTAATTTATATCTTCTAAACGGTAATAGATAGATATAGGGAAATAGTATATGAATTTGTTGAGTTTATCACAGTGCTTGGATTTCTTCCATGTCCATCTTTGGATGGACATGGAAAACCGACGTCTTCAAGTTGCAAGGAAAGAAGAAAATGCACAAAGTCTCTATCGATCCATAAGTTTCTCCGTATGTTAGTCATTCATTTTAAAAGATTTTCTCTAACAGAAAGATTTAGGGGCAACTTAAATGTTGCCATCGAATTTCCTCTAGATGGATTAGATATGAACAATTATGCAGCAATGTGACTTCTTGTCGTTATAATCTATATGCACTTTCGAATCACAGTGGGTCTACTTACAGCGGGCATTATACAGCATTCTACAGAAATCCTTATACTGGCACGTGGCACGAATACAATGATTTACACGTGTCACCAATTTCATCAAAAGTAAAAGTATTCAATTGATGATACGACAAGCTATAGCATCGAAGTTTGGCCAGAAACCCTCATTCCACTCACTGTCAAAGCCCTTAGGCCGCTTCATTTGAAAACCATAACTTTTCATCGTCTCCATATACAACTGTCTGCTTTTTTTCTGATAGGTATCGAAAGAGATGATAATTTTGACGGTTCAGTAAGTATGTATGCTAAATGTAATGAACGTGAACAAGCCATCTCCATAGAGTTGATCAAAATACATTTTGCACCTCACACAATGATATGTTTGAAACCTTTCGGTCTTTTCCGTCTGTTATCTTCGAGATACGAATATATTGGTTATTTTACAAAGCATGTTATGCATGTTAACTTTTCCCAAGGTATAATTCACACTTGTACCACTTCAGATAGGCATTTTTTTCAGAATATGTTCAATAATTATTAGATAATCTTTTCTGAATCACAGGAAGAATTGAGTATTGATTTTATCCTGTATGAGATTCTAATGGTGTTGATACATGTTCAATGAAATATAATATACTCTCTCCGTGGTGTGGATTTATAGTATAGAGGTGTCTGTAAATAAGATAAACAGTGGTATGTGAAGAATATTACTGGAGGTTTATCCCAAAACCAAATCGTTATTTTTGACACCTCGAAGCACTTTGATCTTCCTCTTGAAGATGATCTCTTGGTGATCGAAGCACGTGTCGAGGTGTTAAAATAACGGTTTGATGTTGAGAAAATCTCCAGTTATATTCTTTACTGCACCAAACAGTGTATTACAAATAGTATCCAGGTAAGTGAAGGCGATAACATCTACTCTTACAAAGGCTCGTGTGTACATACACGTCTGAGGAAGCAAATGAATGATGAAATAGATGAAATCTTGTTAGTTATTTTCCAATTTTTCTAAAATTTGGTAATTGATAAGAAAAATAAGAAGGAAGAAATTCCAAAAATCCTTGGCTTTCAAACTTGAAAAACCGTGACACTCAAAAACTCAGCCGCGAAAGTCATTTGAGAAGAATAATATTCAATAAATTGGTTTGTCGTTTCCCGGCTCCTTCGCCAAACAGGAGAGCGCCAAATTTACAAAAATCCTTCACCGAAAGTATGTGTGTTTTCGATTTCCGTTTGAACTATACAAAGTTTCAACATTTCCCAATTCCAGAAGGTCCAGAATAACTTCTATCTTTAATTTTGTACCATTTTCAAATGACATTTTCAACGTAGAACTTCCTTTCCCTTCCTTTTGTACTTTTGGCTTCACTTCAGCTTTCAAATCAAAAGCATCCTTGTTAATGAAAATGTGGGGGATTACTGTGATTGAAGATGAGTCGTCGAATATTTGTTTTCTGGATATATACAAAATGTAAATCAAAAAACCATTCCATTATTCAAATCTCCTCAATAATCTGTTTCAACATTTTCTATTCATTATGGTTTGATTTCCTATTTTTAGATTTATTTTTCACCAAGCAGATTCGATTTTTCCTTTTATTTGCACTACTTTCATATTCAAAAATACCATAGAAGATGGAAAATGAGAGTTTCAAACCAAATTTGCTCAACATTTCATCTATTTACATCCCAGATGAGTAGTAAAAACTGTTTCAATAAAATTGAGCAGTGGACAGTGTGGAGTTCATTAATGAAACAACTAAATGAACTGAATCAATACGACTCCCCGACAGTTATGGTTCTACTGACCTTCATTTTTACGCGAACTTGATCTTGACTATAATTTCAAATTGGGTGCGGTTAATTTCGAAATATCTGCACAACGCCTCGCTTCCTGAAAGTTTATTATTACACAAGAGTACTAGTATATCAAAACTAACAGTTATTCATTTTTCACAAAAATTTTTTTGAAAACCCTGAAAATGTCTCAAATTTCATCTTTATTAGTCTTTCCACAATCAGATACAAAAGGTCAATTTTCATCTGCTGTGCTCTTTGCTCTTTGGTTATGTTTAATTATAAATTGTATTCAGAGCTCATCTAACAGAAAATTAATAAAAATTAATTAGAGAATATTCATTTCAGTGACATCTACTAGGTTTTTTCGATAAACAATGATTATCTTGAAGAGAATTATACTTTCTATGCACTACTAAATAATAGATGGCCGAGAAATAATCATGTTATATTATTATTTTTCAATTGAACGTCAACTTTTTTGATGTTGCGCAATGGATTGAAGTGATTTTTATCGCTCCAATTTTTTCTTTTGATTATGTTTTATTTGAATAGTTCTAATGTTGAAGTTTCTATGCAAACTCTGATCCAATAAAAGTTTTCTATAATAGAAAGTAGAGAAAACATTGACCGGATCAAAGAACTTCAACTACCACTCAACAGATGGCAAGTGTTTCAATTTTCGTTACGTATATTTTATAAGTAGAATTTATCGTTCTGATGACAGTAGTGAATATTAATATTACTACTATTTTATGAATTGTATTCATAATAAACCAAACTAGTTGTGTCAGTTACAAAAAGGAATATACTCGATAAAAAGTACAAGTGTTTTACTGTTGATAAAAAGATTTTGGGCGCTTAGAAACAATTCTCAAGCAACCAATTGTAATGTTGATGAAAAAACATTCTATAAATTGTTCACAACTGCTGATTATAATAATAGTTATTCAACTAAACCTCTCACCTTCAAGATAGAAAACAAGTCTGACTGACTACTTCGCTAAAAGATTAATTAACAATTTTCCAACAATGAAACTAACACAAACTGACTCAAATCGAGAACGCAGCATTTCAACAATAAAGTTAAATGAGCTAACTCAAATCGAAAATACAATTCGACTATACTATAACTAGGATCCGTATAGACGTGCGCCAGGTCGATCTTCAATCGACTATACACGATCTTCAATCGAACAAGACTACAAATCAAATGCGACGTTTCTAATGCGCCTAATAGAGGAGTGCTGAAGCGTTAATTCGTCATCTGCGCCTGTTTAAGTCATAATCCGTAGGAAAATCAACAAACTTGTAAAAATTGATTCATTTTGAGTAGGTATTTCAAGCAGCCAGGATTTTCCAGAATATGTTTCACATGTATAATTACACAGCTGCACATTCTGGCCTGTACGGAGTAGATTTCATCAAAATTAGATCCATAGTTTTCAAGCTATGAAGCACTAAGTATAACGGTGGCGGTTTGGCTCACTGATAAGAGATGCAGGTGTAGTGCCAAAACCACATTTCAAACCACTAAATTTTTGGGGTGTCACTGCCATTGACTACATTGGTCATCAGTCTCTTGTTCTGGGTAGGCCATATCAATAACTTCCCGAGCCATCTAGGGAGCATCATTGCTAGTCGCAGTCCGTCAGCCATGTAACGTTGCAAATTCCTAAACTACTAATTCCAGTCCTTCTCTCAGAGAGACTTTCATCAGTCTATTGAAATGAAATCACTAGTTATTAGCCTCAAGTAAGGTTTGTAAATACCAAAATGGTCCCGATTAATTGTTGAAATGAGTCGATATTGATTGGTAATTATATGTTTAGGAAATCACTTATTATTTGTGGTCGTGCATTTGATTTTTCTACTTTCTCAATAGATTACAAACTCTAGCATTCAGTAACAGTGGCGTACTCCGGCGAATTGCCCAAGAGGTAGTATGTCTAACTCTTGATCCTTACTTTTATTTTACTCATCCAGATAAGTTACTGCGTTAATCGAAGTATTTTTCAGGATCTGGTCGTATTTATACCTTGACAGATGAAAAACCAATAAGTAGTTGTATTTAATGTTTCGAAGCCCATCTTCAGGACTGAAAAAAATCAATCCAAAATTTTCCAGTTTTCTCCTTCGTTTCAGTCAATTTTAAAACCTTCTCGACAGTTGCCAATGGTGTTTTCGATTGTTAAATACTTTTATATGAATGTTAATGAATAACTTTTCAGAAATTCGATGAACCTAACCTAACCTTTGAGATTAGTCTGTTGCAATTTTTCCATTATTTGTATTTTTGTTCGAAGAGAGTAGCCAAATACGATCCGCTTTGATGAACTGCATGAAATAGAAATATGAGAATATATGCTCATTTTCAAGCTAAAATACGCCTCTTAGCGTGTAAATTATTGGCACCGTCTGATTTTAAAATGTACCCTGACAAGTTGGATTCTCTGAATGTCTAGTTCTGATGTAAACTCGATGTTATGTCTTACGCACTTTTGATGGTCTTGAAGTTTCACCAATGAATATAACTTTCACCACAAGAACACATTTTGTTAGGTTTTTTAAATTTCCATTATAAATGACCGGAACCGCATGCAAAAGTCAAAATTATTATTCTAGGTATACCTTATTCACGTTCAAAATTGTTAGTATTTCAAGAATTCGTGATTTTTCTCAACTACTACTCATTTCTATGTATCTAGATTACCTTCAGTTCAATCAGTAAGTGAGATGTAAATTATACTACTTATATAAGTAAAATCAGTACTACATTCCATATATTTTGTAGGAGAAGAATTGAATATTGACAAATTATCAAAAATTGTGTTGCAAAGAAAAGACACTATTAAGCTATTTGATGTGAGTTTTGAGTGGTCATCATGATGTGTCAACAGGTCACTGACTCTAGTTTGCATCAATAAACAAGACTGAACTAGTAATTTATGTAACAAATCCCGAAATTACTGTTTTTTGGACGAGTAGACAAAATTCTGGGAGACCAAACAAAACTTTTTTCGGACGTGTTGCCCACACTATTTTTTCGGCAACCATGTGGAATAACAGATCAACGAGAAACAGTTCTTCATTATATTTCTTCGTGGAACAAAATTTCGAACATTTAAATTCTCATTCGGAATAAATATTGAGATTCTAACAAAAAATAGGTCTTAACAGAAACACTCATTCTCATTTTTATTACCTATCGAGAAATTGCTAATATTGGAGGGACTCAATTTATCTGAAATGCTTGGTATATTTAAATGTCTTTTATTGAGGTCAAAACATGTTGAAGTTTTCGTTTCACATCAATTGTTTACCTCTGATGATGGCAATTTCAATTGGCAATTTCAATTTTTTATCTATATATCCTTCAGCCACATTGACAGACTTCCAGTCACCGTGTCTCCTCAAATTTGTGATGTTTTCACCATTATCAGCAGATAACATTGCTGAAATTCAACAACTGTTATGATCCGTGTAATTAACAAAATTGGGTATATTTAAAAATTCTGCGATTCAGCGGGTTTCCTTGCCCAACTACAACAGAATTTCTCTCAATATGTGTTTTTGAAATCTGGTATTTCCTACCACTAAAATAGTATATACTTTTTGACATAGATTACAAGCTCCACAAGATGGAGGATTTGACAATTTCAGAGTTTTGTGCCAAATAAGTCAAAATTACATTATCTGTAACAGTTTGTCATTTCTTCATATCCATCATCTCCAAGAAAAAATCATAAACGTCTTCGTTTTCAAACAATAATTGTAATGTAGTAGTAGCTGCTGCCTACGTTGGTGATTTTGTAATCCACTGTCGGTCGTTATTTCGCTGCTATGGTAATTACCAACTACATTCATCAAAACCATACCTACCGAGATTTTCATATTCATAATGATAACAACGATGTGATTCTTCCCGGCCGAGCCCAGCAAGTAAGTATTTCCCGGCCAGAAAAATATGTTTCTAAATCTAAAGAAATGAACTTTGAATGAATATACCTACACAGTAGGTTGAATGGACTAACGCCTATCAGAAAACAACTACTCCACTGGCTAATACCACGAACGGAACAACCAAAAAATCATGGTTTGGAATCTTTCTAATTTTCATTTCTTGGTGATTTTTTTTTCATCTTGTGTTAACATTTCAATTTTTATTTTTTGGTTGTTGCTTGTATTTTAATTCCTTGTAATTTCAGTTTTACTGCTTAATATAATTGTTATTTTTCAGCTGATCTTTTTAATTTTTTACAAATTTTTTCAGACATTTCAAATCAACCGAACTAATGAAATTGTCATTTACTTCTGCAACATACCGTATATGAGTGGAGAACTGGACCGCTATCAAAACAAAAACTTTTCTCCAGTGAATGGATCCATTAAAACACTAACAAATAGTGGTCGTCGCATGACCAATCACTTTTGATTTCACATTGAACTTGAAGTGAAGTGATTTATTTGAAAGTAGGGGAATATTTTGTTATGTCATGCCGCTGATGGTAGTATTTCTCAGTTTCTCGGAGAGAACGTCAAAAACAAATAGGTTGTGACAGTTGCAAGTTCTTTCGAAAATGGCACTGGTTAGTATGATTTATTTGAATTACGTTTAGAAATTTTGAACCTTTTTTTTGTTAAGCTCCCAAGTAGAAAATAATAATTTTAAAACAATGTGGGTATTTGAAAACTCTTCAGTTTGAGATTTTTATAAAATCAGAATACGGATAATAAATACCTACTTTTATCTTGGATTTTCATCTAGTAGCAACCAATTCCAACACATTTAAATTAGTATCTGACAATACCTGAAATTTTTTCAAAATATAATTGTTTTATGATTTAATATTTTTTCACCGTACTATATTTTTCAAGTTTAATACCGGTATCGATGATTTTTTTTATTGAATGGTTGCGGAATTAACTGCTCGAAACAAATCAATTAACAAATTTGAATGTGGCTTCATATAAATATGAATATGGTCAATAAAATGATTGAATACGTTTGTTTTAAGGTGGTTGACAATGTTTCGTGGTGTATTTCATTAGTTGGGACTTCAATTGTCTAATATGATATAAATTGATTTGAAATCCCTGAAAGAATCCGTAAAAATTAAAAAGATTAGCTAAAAAATCAATTATATTAAACGAAAAAACTGAAATTACAATGAAATGAAATACAAGCAACAACCAAAAAATTGAACTATTAATACGAGATAAAAATTAAAAACAATTATTAACAAGAAATTAAAATTAAAAGATTTCAAGTCAAGTTACTTCACAACGTTTCTATTGTTAGTATCCACAATCGTCTTATGGTGATCATCCGAACTGGTAAAAAAGTTATCGGAACAAACTTGAAGAAGGCTGAATTTCCATGGATATAGCACGAGAGGAAAGCCGGTTGCTCGTAAAGAAGATCTATTTGAAAGTCTAGAAAATGCATTTTGAGAATTCTTTTTCACATTCCACTCACAGAAAAGTTTATTCTGTAATCAGCTTTGAAAGGTACATTTACTAAGAAAAATATTTAATAGCTAATATCTCCAAAAATGATGATTTTTTGGACCTAATACCTGAAGAAGTAAATGTAGCTTCAATTTTAAAGAAACATAAATTAGGAATTTATTCGAACGGTTTTATTTCTGAAGTATTTTGTTTTTGAAAGAATTTGTATTGAAAACGTTGAACTACGTAATTTTTCTCAACTGGGATTCAATAGAAAAATGTAAAAACAAGATTAGTATTTAGCCGAAAAATAATATACAATATTTCATTGGATTTCACATGCAAATTTACAAGCAGATTTGTATTTCTGTTAACAAATAATCTTGATATCAATTTCAAAATACCATGAGATTTTTGCAACTTCTCCATTGTTAAGGATTTGAAAATATGTGACCAGATATTTGAAAACTGTTTGTCACTCCAGCCAAGACTTCAATATTAGTAAATGTGTCCACTTTTCATATATTTTGACTACAGAACGAGTAACGAACTGGATGACCGCGAATGTAAATGATTATCCAAGCCTCAGTACTATGATAATAATCAATCTAACTATGTTATGAATGTAAAGGGCTCTTCTTAACAAAATACTTGGATACTTAACAATATAACCTTTCAACAAACAGATCATATTGAGCAGTTTAGTCCAGTCAATGACAATTTTCCCTTATAATTCTGCCAAACAACACCGACATTTATAAAAATCTAGATTCAGTTCAAAGTATAATCATTTGTTTAAACGGTTCAAAAGGTTCAATTTTGAAAATTTTGAACGTGAAGTGGAAAGAGAGTTTCTGTAGTTTTTCAAAATAGTGTCTTTCAATCGTATTTAAAAGATGATTTTCATATTCATTTTGTCACCGTCATAACTTGTCATTTCGTCATAACTCAGTTTTGATGCCACTACTTTCATGGAAAAAAGAAATGAAGACTTTTCCAAGATCCTCAAACGAGGTTTTATGAGTTTCCTTTGGAAAATGCATTGTTTCTTGATTAATTTGCGTATTTTGGCGTTTGAGGAATAAGAACCAACAGAAACTTACCATTATTTTCATTTTTGACAAGCTACATTCTCATTGAGAATGATTTTCCCGATAAAATACTGACTTTTTATGTAATTGCGACAAAAGGTCGGAAAACTTGGGTTTATCGGTTGAAAAATTAACATATTCACTCATGAATGAATTGAAACGTATTGACTTTCAGAAAAAACTGGTTGGAAGTTGCTTAGAATTTACTAGTCTACTACAGTCATCTTGTAAGTAGAGGGTAGGTAGAACATTTATTAAAATTTTCGTTCGAATCGGTGCCTCTACTTTCAATTGAATTGAATTTCGTTTCAACACTCTGATGTAAACGGTCAACGGTGTTTATTTCATTGTTACGCAGATTTATTTCTCTTCATAACGTTGAAAGCTGATCGCTCAACTTCATTCATGTTATCTAGAGTGTGAAAAGAATGTCTTATGAGTTAAGTATATGTTTTAAGTAGATTAAATTAACTGATCTAATTTCGTTGCCCTCGATATTAGAAACAATACCCAAAAATTCATATAAAATATGTTTTATTGAAATCGATATTACAGGTGAGTTGATGGTTAGAATCAATTACTACTTCGCACACCACACTGCATTGATTTTTATTGGCAGTGGTCCAAACGAAACACCAGATCAAAAATACGTTGACATTTTTTATTTCGATTATTTGGAACAAATATGGCGTTATGAATACAAATGACACAAGCGCATCTCCACTATGAACACTGTTGCCAGTTGAATTTAATATAATTCACTCCATAGCGCCATCTGGAGGCAAATGTGTCATTGGTGTTCAATATCAAAACGTGTGACTGATAATTAGATTAATAAAATATTTTTCGTATATAATATTTAGCCATTGTAAACGTTCTGATGTATTGTAAATCTGTTACACTTCAAATGGAATTTTTCAATATATAAATTCTGAAGAAGCAGGTGAACGTATATCTTTGTAAAGATAAAAAATGCTTTTATTGGCCTTGGAGGAAAATTGGGAGACACGGCCAAGAAGCCCATTCTTAGTCTCCAAAACATAGTAGGTACCTGTTATTATCACAAATATGTACCAAACCACTCCACCAACTATAACAGATGTCATAGTACAACAGATATCAATTAACTCTCATTATGTATAAGGTAACTGGAAAGTGGACGATGGACAGTCTTTCTCAGGAGATAATAATAATAATGATAATTGGAATTGGATTATTTCTCTTTTGGGCTACTGCCCGAGCAGCTGATGAACTCGATATAGTTTTCGAGGTGACCACAACTCTGTCACCGAGTTGGAACCCGTTCAGCAAAAAGCTCATATAAAAGCCGCAGAGATCACCTCACTTCTGCGGAAACACAAGGATAAGCCAATGCATGGGGTCTTCTTCAATAACATTGGAGACCTTGACTAATCAAAGTGCCTGACTTTCGCTTTCCTCAGGTCGAGTGGGCTGAAGTCGAAAACTGAGGGGTTCATCATGGCTTGCCAGGGAAGTGTCTTCAACATCTTAGTCTACCGCAGTCGCGTGATGGGTATAGAGATTCCTGACACAAGGTGCAGGGCCTGCCGCGAGGCGCCCGAGACCCTAATGCACTTGCTATCAGTATGTCCAGTATATGCGATCTCGGCCTATATCCATCGACATAACGCGACCCTAAGAGTACTATATTACAATCTACGGCACTATTACGGTATTGACGAGACACCGGTGTTGCCCTAGGCGCCGGGGGATATTGAATCCGTTGTGGGGAACGAGAAGTGACGAATTTATTGGAACTATTCGTTCATACATACAAGTTTATTAGCTTGTATGTATTAAGCTAATAAGCTTGTATGTATGAATCGATATTTTCTCTTCGAATTCAGCACTCTCTATTCAGAACACTATGTCAAGATGGTTGTTTTGATTATTGGAGTCCTTGGTAGAATGATGGCCTCTCTACTCTCAAATCTTAAAATCATACCGGCTTGCCGCAGTAAGGCTGAAATCTTAGCCGGACAGATGCAGAAGGCTGTCATTCTTGGCTCAATGCGATTGCTCAGTGTACATGATTCTCGGACCCAATGATCACTTACCCCACGGTGTGGGGAATGGTCATTGGTTGATAATGCTGGCGCGCCCTCCCGAATGTATCGCGGCTTCGTGGAATAGGGACTGACCAGCGCACACTACGGTGTAAAAAAATTATAATAATAAATGTCTTCTATTAATTTTCAGTTAGGTATATTCATACATGTGAACTAAAAAAGTAATCGGCAACGGAAGGTGCAGACTTCTGTTCTTCCACCTAACCCAAAACAGACTAGTAAATGAAAAATCAGAACAAACACAAAAAAACATTGATTACTTCCAAATGCACCTACATTACAAGGAATATAAACATTGTTTTCACTAAATTATTTAATCTCAGTTCAAATTGAACTGGAGATGAAGAGTGGGAAAAATTAACAGGATTTTAAAAATGAAAATAGAACTTACTATATATCGAGAAATCTGATGATACGCGTCCGGAAAGTCGACAACGAGGGTTCTTTCAACTCTGGTAATATTTTTTTCATTTATTTGGTGATGTGAAAAAAAAATGAAGGTCTGTAAAATTCCATGTGAAATATTGGGGGAAGAAAACATTTTTGTCGAATGTTAAAATTATGTACCACCATATCCTTAAATATTGGAAAGGCTTCAACATTTCGAGCGATCATCAATATAGGGTTCGGAAACAAGGATCAACAGGCAACCTTCGATCGTATGTCACCCATAACGCGATCGCGAAACACGGAGACACATGAGCTGTTACTAGTGTCCGACCGAAAGTTCGGTTTCGGTCGAGTTTCGACAAAAAAACGGGTTTCGGTTTCGGCGCCAAACCTGCCGAAACTACGACCGAAACCGAAACTGCATTCGGGAGTTCCCGCGCTGTGAGCGGTCATGTTCGGCGCGTTGAATTTCATACAATCGACGAAGACATTTTGCCGCTTCCACGTGCCTAATCATGTCGTGACTATTGTGATATTAGGTATCAACTCAAATAAGTAATTTTATGTTTAATATTTTTGAAAATCCATCAATTAGGTATATTCAAAAGAAAAATCTACACCTACTCAAATGAAAACCTCACCTATTTTAAGTATATTTAAGGTGCAATCAATATTTTTTCTTGAATAAGGGTTTTTTATGTTTATTATCAATAAGTAAAAATGTCGAAGAGTGCATAACGTTGTGATGCAAAGAAAAAAAAATGAAGACTGACTGATTATAATAATGTTTTCTTTCTTTTTCCCTCAAAACATATTCCTTGTAGGGAAGGTTCGGTTTCGGTCGCAAAAACCAGTTTCGGTCGGACACTAGCTGTTACCTTTCTGAGGCCAAACTTCGATGCTGCGGCTTGTCGAATCATTTTGGTGTATTGTCTCCAGCTTCCTGAAAAAACGTTCCCTGCAAGTGGCTGTCGATGGATATCTCTCGAATACTATCAACGCTGGTGTTCTCCAGGAAATCATATTGTCTCCAACCCTCTTTTTATTGTATTATATCAACGACCTATTAGAAAAAATCTAGAATTCAATATTTAGCTTTGCTGACGACAGGTTGTCTCGTCACTCCATTTGGATTCCAGGACATCGACTGCGGATGCACATCTTCACCGGCAGCAGGATGTTGCATATCTCAATGACGGCATAGAGGAGATTTCGGGAGGTTCAATAATGCGAAGGAAACCTAGACATCGGTTTTCTCCAAAAAGATAACAGTCTCCGAACCGGATTTAATAAAGTCAGAATAGACAATTCCAAGGTCATGTCGCTGGAATTGCAAAGGCTGCTTCTCAAAAGCTTAGAATACTGTTCCGAACCGAAAAACTACAAAACTCAGCAACTTATGAAGCTTATGAAGCTTGATAATTGTGGCTGCTCATTGTTTTGACGTTCAAGTTAGCACATCTCGAACTTCACCGTTCATAAACTCCTTCATTTGGAGAACTGCTTTTATGTAGAATAAACTTCCTGAGGAAGTTTTTCCAAATGAATTTAATCTCCAGCGATTCAAATCCAATGTGATTCGCTACTTTCGTGCTTGGGGAGTTTCCTGTAGTGCTTGTGTTGTGTCCTTAAAGAAGCCAAGTCAGTTCAAATCGTGATGAATCAATATTTAGTGACAACGTTGAAAAATTATCTTGTGAATTCAATTACATGGTGTTAAAATGTTAGATCAACTACCTAATAATTGATTTAGCAACATTCAATAATCTCAGATTCTTTTTTTTATTTTCAGACCAACAATGGAAAGAAGATCCTTTGCGTCCTACTGACGATCACAACAATAACAATTGCCACCCGTCAACATCGCACCCCATCATCCACCTACCATCAAGAGACAGACTTTCCTTCGTCGAAGAACTACCTGGAAGGATCCCTGACATTCGACAAACATCCCGTGCATGTATCTGCGGGGTTTCACTTGAAACCGCCCCCAAGAGTGCGCGTGCCGTCCCTACCACCCCTCGATTTTCTGATGCGACGGGAGCCTTTCCCGAGACCTCCCTTCTCTCCTAGTTTCCTGTTCATCCCGAACACTATAGAGCAAACGGCTGAAACGAAGGGCCAGATAGAGGAGTATGAGAAGGCATTGCGCGAGGAGAGATTAGAGCAGGGGCAGGATAGAGCCACCACTCAGGGGCGGTTTTCGGAGGTGGAAGATCTGGAAGGCACGACGCAACCCACCCACTTCGTTAGCGTGAGAGGCAAAGAGTACAATTATAATTATTCTGTTTGAGGTGAATTTGTCGATACTAAAGTAACAATTAACAAATAGCGACTACAAATTAGCGAGAAGTAACGAGAAAATTGTGAAAAACACCTTTGAAATGTCTTGAAACATTGAAATATTGTTATATTCTTTTATATGTTATGGAAATTCATACATGATTTCCATAAATCTCAAGATCACAAACATTATGAATTTCAGTGAAATCGAAAAGAATACGCGATGTTTTGGTGATGCATGTAGCCGCGTCAAGTAGGTCGTCTATCATTGACAAATAAAAGTTTAGTGATTTGCCTACTCTATTCATACTTTATTCGACCATTTTACTTTCTGACTATCGAACAAATAATCAATCTATGAGTCGACAACTTCTCTTAATGTACTTCGATCCAAATTCTTAATATTTCCGAAAATAAATGGTCATAAACATCAATACCGTTAAGGTTTTGTGGTTTACTGATTTCCAGGACTTATTCTGACTCACCCCTTGTCAAAAAAAAGCATTTCAGAATCACTTTCAGAGCAAATCAAAATTTATAATAATGGCATTAACTCGTGGGAGCTATTCTTCATCCAATAATCATATCACAGAAGTAGTATCAAATCTCCTTCAAGAGAGCGCCACTGATGTAAAGAATTTAGTAATATAAATAGTAGTATCTCAAAAATTTCAACACTGTTGAATAGAGGGACGAAAATCTAAGGTTTCAATGAAAAAATCTGCAACCTCTCAAATACTACAGTGGTGAGATTGATGATGAATCTGGGACGCTTATCCGGACCACAGAACTATAACTTAGAGTTATAGTTCTGTGAGAAGGACCGCAAGTCTAGACACAAAAGACACAAAAAGAAGAAGAATCCCGTTTCAAAACCTCCTGAACTAAACGCTGTAAACACTTGATCCATGTTTCACTAAAATTGAGAAAATGGCGACAATACCTTCTTTGACAGCTTTGACACATGCCTATATAATTGTAGTGGACCAAATCTGATTACTTTCAGTAATACTATGATATTTAAAAAATAGTACGTTTCCAAAACTAGCTTCATTCTTCATAAACACTGTTACAAAAGTATGTGAAATGTGCATCAACTGCCGTAAGTGCCGTTTCAAAGGTGCGTAGATCCAATAGTATTATGTTGTTCATTGCATGCTACGGTTTTAAAACTTGTTAGATCCTGTTCGAATGTGAACGGTTTCTTTACAGTTTACGTACACATACAATTTTTGTCAGTAGATGTTTGAACGTGAAGCAGTCTTGTTGTGATTTAGTGTGTTTGCGGTTTAAAAATAAAGCTAAGATTCCAGAACTCGTTGAGAAAAAGTGCAGGTCAAAAAAAAGCTTTCCGACGTCGATGCACTTTTGAAAAAATATTATGGCCCTGATTGGAGAAATGCCGCAGAAGATGTTTTGTCATTTTATGAACGTGTTTTTATGAACTGCTCCAGATGATGATAATAATTCTGACGCAAACGTTGTTCCAGATGAGTTAAGTATTACAGAAGATGAGGACTTGCAAGTTTAAAACATTTAACATTTTGAACCTGTTTTTGCTTAAATGAGAGAGTGTATTTTTGTTTTGAAAATTGAGTTGAATAAACACTAGTTTTGCATCACATACGTCTTTTTCAACTTCTTAACCATTCAGATAAATTTTCAAAGCTGTATAAATCCACAATATGTTTCCAAAACTCGTTTAACCCTACTTTTGTTTTGAAATAACTCTGCAAAACATTGTCTAATATTTGTTTGCTGACCGTATATTAGTTTTAAAGGACAATCTACAAATAACAAATCAGTCACACAAACCTACTTGATTTTCAAATTGAGGGTATCAGTAAAATTGAATTTTTCTCGAAATCACTTCTGATGGATTCAACAAGTTTTGGAAAGGGGCGCCTCACTTAGACTAATGTAAAAGTCCTTACATAGTAAATACTTCATTTGGGAGCCGAGGGAACTGAAACGAGTAGGAAAAATTAAGAGACAATTCATTGGTTTCAATAACGATTTACAGTATCTTTAACGTGAAGAAAGTCAAGTGTTTTGGGACTTTACATTACATAAGGCATTCGGCAGTGAACATTTTTACCTTTTTTTAATAAAGACAATTGGATGTAATTAATAACTGCAATTTCGCAATTGTTAATTGTTACTTGCTAATTGAATGTGAACACATTCAGAATCTCATTTATATGTTATATAGTTATTAAGTTCTTAGTATAAAATTACAGAGCACGTGGCAGACTGATAACCAATTATTGTATTCATCAAATCAATCAAGGTACGGGTATTATGTAAGTTGATAATAAAGATACACCTTTTCATCAACGTGATCAAACATTTTATTGAGAATACCCTACCTTTCAGAAACTAGTTCTTCAAGCTTTGGTGACGTACTTTCACTATACAGTGTGGTCCATTAAATTGGCGACAAATGAAAAAAGGTTTCGTTCGTTATTCAATCGAAATTTGCAAACCGCTAAAAATTGGGACATGTTCGATAACCATCCACAGGCACTTAGAATGACTACAAGTTGTAGAGCATACAGGACAGTTCAAAAAATAATAAATTATTTCATGAATGAAGTGAATTCATTCAGAACAAAATAAAACCATGTCCTCTTATTCAGATTATTGATATTTCGTGAAAAAATTTGAGTTGCACCAGTATGACATTTTTTTCAGTATTCTGAATAATTACATATCCAAAGTAGCCACAGTCTGGTAAAATATCTCCCAAATTGAAGGTCGCCGATAGAATTCAGGAGTTTTCATGGAGATTCGAGAAAGGATAGTCGATGAATATTATACCACGCACATTCCAAAATACCGAGGCTATAATCTTTCCAGCCGATTGGTAGAGCTGAATGTACCACTTACTAGTTTGTGTGAAACACGTTGGGTGGAGCGCCATGATTCTGTCATCAAGTTCCTCGAAAACATTAAAAAAAATTGCAGAAGCATTGTCTTCTAATGCTAATTGGGCAAGTAAAGCTCAAAGTTTGTTGTGGTCCATAAGCAATATTCAATTTATTATGGCTCTCACCTGTCTGACTGATATACTTGAAGTAACAATCACTTTGAGTCGCGAATTACAAAATGAAGAAATGGACATGATAACAGCTTGTGACCTTGTAGCAAATACAATTAGCGCTTTGGAAATAAATCGGTCGCAGAATCATTTTAACAATGTTTTTGCCCAAGCAATGAAGGTTGCTTAGGAATTAGGGTTAAAAATTACAATACCACGTATCGTAGCAAGACAAGTGCATCATTCAAACCATCCGAATACCACGCCCAATGAGTATTATAAGACCACAATATTTTACCGACTTCATGATGAAGTTTCAGCAGATATCTTGGAAAGGTTTTCGGACGAATCATTAAATTGCTTCGATTTGCAGCTACTTTTGCCAGATATGATAGTTACTATGGATGGAGATGCCGTAAATAAATGAATAGAGACTTTGGTATTACGATTTTCCCCTACACTTTCCAATTGCGCTACTAATGTGGAGAATGAAATGGGTGAAAATGAAAAAAGCGGATCGACCAAAAACCATCTGGGATGTTTTACCCCACACAACACTATTTCCGACTATTCAGTGCTTGCTACAGATACTTCTCTCTTCCAGTGGCTTTAGCAAGCGCTGAAAAGATGTTTACGTGCTTGAAGAGAACCTAAACGTGGCTACGAAACCGGATGAGTGAAGACCGATTAAATGGCCTTTGTTTATTGAATATGCATCGGGATCCAACACCAACTCCTGAAGAAGTCCCCAAAATAGTTGGAAAAATCGTTACAGAATTGATTTTATAATATAAATTGAAATATTTAAATAGTTTGCTGCGGCCCCCCCGAGAAAAGCTTCTGGATACGTCCATGACCAACACGTTATTCTTTTGACATCTTTTCAATGTCATCTAACTCACGCATTTCCACTTTCCGATCATTCAAAATGATTTTGTGGAGTTTTTTATGTTTTCTGGTTTTACTGTCTCATTTAGACGTCCACTGCGTTATTCTGCATCATCGGTATTTCTACGACCACGTTTTAAGTCAGCAAACCAAGGTTTACGTGTTGATTCTGATGAAGCGGAGTCCTTAAAACACTTTTCAAGGCATTGCTTCGCTTGAACAGTATTCTATCCCACCAAGAAGCAGTGTAAAATTAGAAAACGAGATTGTTTTTGATCCATTGTTTTGAAAAGTAGTGTCACTCTTAACACAATAACTCAAGAAACGTATGAGTAGAACATCATGAAATTTCAACAGATTTCTTTTGAATGTTAGTACTAAATGAAAAAGCAGTGAATACAATAAGACTAACGCCGAGACTTTTCAGCCCATGTAATACTCTTTTTTTTCGAAGTATTTGTGCAAATTATTACTTACAAGTTGGGTTTTCCCTTCAAAACCTTTAGGCAGATAAATAATTAATCACAATGAAACTAAGAAAAAATTAAATTACATAAAACTTGGACTAAACACTGTAAACACTAGAAGCGGCGAAAGTGGAAAGGTAATTACTGCCTTACATACCTGTTCGAACACTGCTTAACTCAAGAAACAAAAAAGTCAACTGGAACAAATAAAGAGGCCAATGGTTAATAGAACGATTGTCATTGGCTACACATAGAAGAACAAGAGTTCTGAGAACCTGCTTTACATTAATATTTTTTTTTGATTTCTCAGGTATATTATGAATGTGATTTATTTGACTTGAAGAAAAGTCTACTGATTAATTGGCTTTTGTCAAGTTTTGTGCATATATAAGTCCATTACGAAGTGAATATTCAACACATTAAAGAAGTAATTGATAACTTTGCAATTCTTAATTATTGCTTCCTAATTGAGTGCGAAAAATCCGAAATCAAATGCATATTCAGCTGTTAGTTTGTGATGTAAAATCACAAAGCACATGTCAGTTCTAATAACCAATTACTTTATTCATCATTCAAATTATGTAAGTTGATATTAAAAATACAGCTGCCTATCAACGTGAAAAAACTTTTTTTTTATTGCCCTACCTCATGGAAAATAGTTCTTCAATATTTAGTTACATACTTTTTCTCTAAGGGTGTGTCTATCTATGTACAGAGTGACTCGTACAGAAGAAGATGATTTACCGTTGAATGAACCAGATCAACGATTTCACAAAAATACCTTTTCAAAATTTTGAAAGAATACTTATGTCTGTTTACTATTCGCAATATCGGTGTGTCATAAGCCCGATCATTTTTTGTAAAAGTATTATCAGACACGAAATTGAGAAATTGAGGTATAATTATGTGATTCTACATTTGCTCGGGTGTACGTCTGGAGTAATATACTAGATGGTCAGTTCTGCTTCTGAATCATTGGTTGTTTTTTCTCAGTATATTCATCCAAGCTGCTCTTAACTTCAGGTTTTTAAGAATACGAACAATCTTTCCCAACACATATCCATTATTAAATTTTCAGAAAGCTGAAAAAACAACTCTTATTTCCTTCGTTTTCTGAGGTTATTCCATTATGAAGTAAAATACCGAGTTTAATGTACCTTCAAAGAGTTTTTGTCCTGTTATGATTTATTTTACTAGCCATAAAAGTATACGTAAACCCAAACTTATACTTGATTAACGACGACTGCCATTAAAATTACTAAAACAATATCTCCTCAATACAAAACTTCATAAGATGAAAATTTGTTAAGATTCAGTCCAGTGAGTCACCTCTAATAAGATGGCATAGTGATATAACTATATAACATATTGGTGATGTCACAAAGTCGTAATGTTCATTTGAATACGTTATTGCGTTTTGAGCTATCCTTTCGACGTGCTTACTCAGAGACAAGTAAATGGTGGAGTGTCACGCGACAGTTGTAACTTGGCTCCACAGTTTCACAGTCAAATTTTCCAACACGGTTCCACGAAATATTCCCGTGCGTAGATGAAATTTGAACTGTTGGCTACGTGCTGGCTATTTTGTTAGCATCCAGATAGAGTCATTCTTGTGAATATTACTAGCTATCTCTGATTGATATAATTTGGTCTAGCCGAGAGAGAGAGAGAGAGAAAATATCTTTTGACGAGAATTTGGGATGAGATTGATGGGAACGGAAAAGATGAAACAGTGGTGAAACAGTTTGTTTATAATCACGTAGATTGTGCGTAATAAAAACGTATATGAGGTGTAGTTTTTGGAATTACCATGGATCTTCATAAGGTAACGGCCGAATCAATCAGAAAAATAAAATACAGAAGTAAACTATTATCAATATCTCAAGCTACAAGTACATTTCAGTCAATAACCTCTATTCAAATTTGAAATCCAGTTGTTTTCTTCATCTCATATAACATAATAATTCGCATTTTCAATATTTGATAGTGAAGTGTTTCAAATTCCAAAAAAACAGAAAAGAACAGTGACGCGATAATACAGAATGAGTAGTGTTATGGATGATGAGAGGACAGTTACCACGGACTAGGACAGTTACTATAATAGAACAAAAGAGGCAACGTGAGAAAGATATTTTATTGCTCTGAGTGAGCAACTGAAAGTACACCGAGCCACCACCAACAAGAAAAATAATCTGATGGCTCAGATTACGATATTCTTATTGTTTTTATGCATTTATGAGATTAAGTGATGTTGACAGTAACAGATGACAGTAAACGGTGAATTCCCTGAAATTTTCCTAGCACATATCCCAAGGAGTATCCGATTCACAAAAAAATCACCCAACGATTGTCCAACAATACATTGTGACGTCTGGAAATGTTATACTGTGAAACACATGTCGCGGATATCTCACATTGAAGTGTTTTTTCAATACGCTTCAATTCAATTTCATTTTTGGAGTTGACAATCGAATGAATTACTGAAATAAAGATCAATTCATGGTTGTACAAGTAACCGCTTTTGAAACTTCCCGTTAATAATGGTTAGTGTTCGGTTACTTTCGGACCATACCCTCAATTCTGTCTCCACACACTCCAGTAAATGACAGAAATCATGCGCCATCTATGGACTAGTAGACAAAATCAAATCTAAAAATCATTCTATTTTGAATGCTGCGAAAGTCGTCAAAAATTGCAACAAATTGCCCTACCTTATCGACAAAAAGCAAAAGTCGCCACGGAAGTGATCAGTCACCTATTCTGGAACATTACTACTTTTGAGTGCATTATTGAGAAAAGACGGAGTGGTTTCAAGCGTTTTAGTTTTTCTTGTGTTTACTTCCATCAGTTTAGTTGCCATTCAAGAAGTTTTTATAGCGAATGAACCCGAAACAATATTTATTTGATTTACGTCGTGTCTGTGAGTTTTGAAGGAGGCCATCTTTGCAATCTCTATCAGAGGTCCTTTGCTCGCGCTTTCATTGTCTGGTGAAAAGCCAGTATATATCACATACAGACTACATCAAATGGCTTTAAAACGAATTAATAAGGTATGTTGGTGTCGAAATATTCGGTGAATAAGATTTTAGGTTCAGGTTCGTGAAGTAAAGTGTTTTTCTCCTGCTAAACGCCCTTAACGATTTTGTGGTAGACCAATGTGAACAATTTTAGAACATGAATTTATCGTGTGCAACACTGAGTTTCCTTGTGCTAATTGCATCCAAAACGAGCATGGACATTTTTCGTTAAATTGTGTCACCCTTGACGGGTCAAATATTTTCGATTTAATCACTGATTAAATCTCCTTATAAAAAAATGCCGGATATGTACGTAATGAAAAATGGACAGTTGTGGTCAGCATTAGTCACAATTTTCCCCAATATGTTATTATTACCTTGGCCTAAAGTGTCTTGTGTAACTAACCTCTCCATAATAGGCCCCTGACTTTCATACTTCTAAAATTAACTTGCCAGATTCTGTACTATTTGGAGTATTCAATTCTTCCTTTTTCTTTTTCAGGAATTACAAGACCTCGGCAGAGATCCTCCGGCACAATGTTCAGCAGGTCCTGTTGGAGATGACTGTAAGTGCACTATGGGACAATAAATTTCCTTGTTATTAACAGAATTACATTTGTTTATTCCAGTATTTCATTGGCAAGCAACAATAATGGGACCAGTAAGTACTTGAAAATTCATTATACTGAATAGGATTATGAATATGCTTTCTTTTTAAAAGGATTTTGGTAAATATTCGTTAGTAACTACTCCCATGAGTTATTGAAAAAAAATTAGACTTATGTATTTTTGTTCGCGGATTTTGAATCTAAAGTCAAAACTTGACATTCTGCCCATATTCATGGAGATGCAGCAGACTGTTGACTGTTATGAACAATTTTCTTGAAAAGGGCACTTTCATAAGTAAACTTTCGTTGGTACAAAACCAGATTAGAAATGAATGTGTTGTAAATTTATAAAGCTGCCGGAAACATGAGAAATGCCTCTTTTTTTGTCATTCAAGGTGGGATTATGCAACAATAACTAGAATAGTGCCCAGTTTATGCAGCTGTTTTTGATCGAATGTGCTCAAATAACATAACCGTAGTTATTCTTTATAGTTTTCACTATAGTGCTGAAAATGGTTCCATACATACGAAAATTTGATCAATTCTTTTTCATCCACTTTTCCAATACTTTATATAAACACATTTGAAGTAATAGTTCATTAAGATTCAATTTCAACAACAACAAAGTCTGAGGTCAATAATAGCTGGAAATATTGTGCAAGTCAAAGTATATCTACTTCTTAGTTCGTTTATTTACTAGGTATGTTGCATAAACATGCATTTGAAAGTGGAAATTTTCAAATTTGGCAACGTTATTCTCATTTTTTTACTTCGTCTATTAATGATGACAAAAACTCTTAGTGAAGTCACATAATTCAGAACAAGGTTTGTTTCAAGGCCATGCCCAGGGGGGTTGGGGGGTCTGGACCCCTCCCGGTCCGAAGGGCTTTTGCCTATTTACGCCATTGGGGCTGTCGAAGAGTGCAACAGGCAATTGAATCACAACATTTATATGTTGTTGAACATCTTGTCGACTCTACCAGTAACCACGTGCACCCTGGAAAGGTAATTTTCCACACTTAGGCGCCTAAAACCTACCTATGGAATTTTTGTAGACAACAAAGGCTAACCGGGTTGGCCCTAATGGCAATTCACAGAGATGTCATCGTCCCTACTGATGATGTTATAATAGAATTTGCCCTTTAAAAGTCTGGAAGGCTTGATTTTGTATTGTGAATTCACTGAACTGGAAGTTTGAGGTTTTTAGTTTTGAAAACGAAAATGTTAGTACAGTTTTTCAGTGGAGGGCCTTTCCTGCGACAATATAATGGTAATTCCATAAATTTGAATTAGCAGGTATTTCTTATTGAGACCCTCCGAAACAAAAATCTGGGCACTGTCTTGGTTTATTTTGATGAAGTGGAAACTCTTCATAATGTAAAGACAAAATATATAAATAAAGGTCCGCAGTGGCAGCATCTCTGAAACTTTTGACTTCATGATCAATTCACGAAAATATCTAAGTCTCATTAAAATTCGAATGAAAGCTGTTGAAACAAGTATTTATCCATATTTTAATATTGACATCAGAAACATATGAGTTATTTTGTAAGTTTTGTAGTACACTTTGTAGATATATTCTAACCAAACTTAATTTTTCTTAATAATTGATTTCTTCTCTATCTGCCTGATATCAAAAAATATTTTGTGAATATCAACCCTAAATATTATGTCACATAACCTCACTTTACTAGACGGATAATTTAGTGTTTAATTGAAAAGAGGTTTAATGAGACAGTCCTTATAATCAATTCTAAGATTGCTTAGCCTATTGAAGCTGAATTGTGTTGAATAAGATGTCATGAAAGTAATTAATGAAAAATGAAATATGCTCAACAGTATCTGATATATACGTCACTCAACCTAACCTCACTTGAATATGGAAATTTTTATCCAAGATCTGCATCTGTTTTTTATAAAAGTAAAGATTTTGACACAGGTTCAGACTGTTCAATTTTTATTTCGCTGAGACATTTGTAATTTCTATTTGCCTCCACTATTTAGAATGGTGGAAGCAATTAAAATGAACTTATCACTGCTATAGTTCGTTTTCAAAAGGTGTGTGGTAATAAATTACTCAAAATTAATAATCCCAATAACTTACTAACCTATCCAATTGTTATAATATTTTCACTGGGTGTAGACACTCACAAGGGGGTGCTCATAAATCTGGTTTTATAGCACTAATCCTCTTTTCTGATGGTTTAGCAATTATGGGTTTCATGAGTAGGGTCAAAGAATTGTTCACATAACCCTTAACTTTGGTATTGTTAGAAACATAATCATAATACTTTTATATAAATTTTGAAATATTGTAAAGTTGAAATTTCATACCTAGGTTCAACCTAACCTGACCTTGATATGGTTTTCATTTACACAGTCTTTCAGCTGGTGGGCATTAGCAGATATATGATATAGTTTTGGTAATGTTTTTTGAAGCAATCTTTAAGAATTATATTTCAACATTTTTTTGCTTTCAATCTATTTTAACTAATTTTGTTTTCAGAGCCCTGAAAATAGAGCCAAAAGCGGGTAGTCTGGCTTCCGCGCGCCTTTCGTCACTCTGACATAAAAACAAAAAAAATTATTTAAACATATCAAATGTAAATATTAAGGAATGAAAAAATTCATGTAATGTTGGGATATAAATGTATAGGAATAGTTGATCAGAAAGAGAAGATTTACGGCCAAAGGTAAAATAAGGTATATTTTGAAAAAATATGTACACTTGTAAAATATCAAATATGCAATACAATAAAGGAAAAGCCAGAGAAGTTCAGGGTAGAGTGAATGGACAAAACAAGTGACTTTGTTTATTGATACAAAGTAAGTGGGTTATACTTTTGGTTATTTTGTTTCAGTGGATTACACTTCTATTGAAATTCTGTAATAATGTTGAAATTATTAAATTGTAGGAAATAAAGGTTTTGACTTTCTACTTCTCCATCAATATATAAAGAAAGTGAGAAACTTCCAAAGGAAGGAAGACGGCAATTCGTTTCAGAATAAACACTTAACAAAAATGTGCAGATAATACTTGTTACTTTCAGAATTATGCGATGATAGACAACCCAATGATCACTTATGGTGCAATTGCCTGTTGGCAGAAGGCTTTACACAAAACGGTCCAGGCGAAGCTAGCTCTCTGGCTTACAGATACAAGCTTGTCTGGCCATCAGTGGTGGCATCAGTACCACACCTTCAGCGGTCATGGAGGTCCTTCTAGATCTACCACCTCTCCACATTTTTCTGGAGAGAGAGGCTAGATGGACCGCGTATAGACTTGTGCACATTGCCTAATTCAATGCAGAGTGCAACAGACTGTTGATTGACACTGGAAGTCACAGCATTCTATAAATGACCTTTGACTGTATGCCTCCAACTGTCAACTACGAACTGCCTTATGAAGTACTGTTCCCGAGTAGAGAGTACTGGATCCTCAGCGAGAAGAAATGTTAATAGCAGATAGTCGTTGGTTCACTGATGGATCAAAAACACCTTCCGGTTCTGGTGCAGGTGTTTTCAGTCGCATACCCAGGACAGAGATATCAACCTGGCTATGCGACTGTATTTCAAGCGGAATTTACGCTATTGAATTGTGTGCGGAGAGATTGAAAGAATCCAACCTCATACAATAGTCAATAAAAATATTCTCGGACAGTCAAGCCACGTTGGAAGCTCTTGGCTCCTACCGAGCAACTTCTAAATCGGTAGCAAATTGCAGGTTAAGGACTAACGAAATAACAAATCGAACAAGCTAAAGTTTTTAAATTATGTATTCATTCAGAAATCCCCAAAGAAATTTCACTTAACACAATCTGCCAAAATATAAACGAATAACTTAATACAGGTATTGAAAGGGTAAACATGTGATTCATAATAATAAAGTACTGAGCTTAGCGTTTTTGGTGCCAAAATTTTTTCAAAATTCGTCTCAGGTCTTGGTCTTTGTAACGTCAAGAAAAGCACTTGAAAAATAGTAGTCAAAATTAGTAAATATTACTAATATTAATTTTTTGTTAGGAAATCACCAAAAAAGTGTATCTGAGTTAAGGTGGGAGGTGGAAAGTGAAATTTCTTTAAAAAGATCAATGAAAAATTGTTAATTTTGATGTTTTGCAGATAAAACGAAATTGAAATCACATTTAATTAATAATTTTGGCGCACTTTCAAGTTAGTAACCTTGAAAACAGTACTTAAAAGTTTGTGCATATCAGTTAGGTGATGTATTCACATATTTAATTCCAAAATATTTATTATCACCGATATTTTAATGTTCATCAAAGTTCTTCATCGTCCCCGTCTTCTTCAAAAGAGTCTGTCTTGTCTTTATCGTCATAAAACTTAATTTGATTCTTCATCAACAACGTCTTCCCCATTTTGTAGTACAACATAAGATGCTGTAGTGAATTTCTACGACGAAAGAACCTACAGATCTTGGTCCCTTATGAAAGGAGAACAATTTTTTTAGACTCCTGGTCTTCTAAAAAACATGTAGATTTACAAAATCGTAATTTAAGGAACTCGTTTTTGTGTCCAACCATTCAAAATATGTTTGTAGAATTTTCTTGAAGAAAGTGTCACTAGCTCCCCGACTATAAGAGGAATTACTCACCATTGTACTATCATCATGATTCATTGTAATGCAATGTAGCGAAAAAAATTGTTTGTGCCAACTTTTATTTTTGAATTTCTTTTCGAATGAAAACTGTAAAAGTGACAATTTATTTTTGTCTGGATAATACTCATGATTTATAACATGAAAATGGATTCTTTTTACATAAAAGTTATGATGGCAATTACCTCCATCGATTTGGAATCGTATAATGTTGAATAGCTTATAATTGATGGTGTTGTAGAGAACCTTGACACTATATCTAAATGACCCCCATTCGATTCAAATATATAAAAATCGAACGGAGTTGTTGATCATGTACAGAGGCTAAGCTGTTAATGTCTGTTCTTTTGGACTGATCTTGGAAATGTTGCTGAGTTACGTGAGGCCAGTCTTTGGAATGATGAGTTACCGGTGTCGTAAATCGTTGAAATTTTGCGTCATCATAGAACGTATAGTTGAACGTTAATTTGTATGATAGCTACAAGATTTAAAAAATCGAGTATTTATCTATTGGCGCAGTCTCAAGAAATTACGACCAAGGTGTCATTCGATTCGTATTTTTGTCTAGAAAGTATAAGGAAAGGTCCGAAAACGCGCCGATAATAATTACAATAGTTATAAACAATCAAGTGGAAAAAAATGGGGCTTTAGTTTTTTCTTAATATCTCGGAAAATTTTCAAAATTTTGGAAATTTGAAAAAAGATTTGAAAAGATCAATGAATTTGNAAAAAAAGTTTCTTCAAAACCTTAAAGAACAATAGAAAGTTGGACACTAAGTTTCAAGAAGATAATAATAACAATAAAAAGTCGTCTTTATTCATCTTTGAATACACATGTAAAGAGATAACAATAACAGGTATTCATCAAAGATAAAATTACAAAGTGTCACTCGAGGGTGTTTTTCAAACTTAACTGTGGAAATACAATAATAATTTACAATTTTCTTAATTATCTTAGCTACAATATCTACGATGAATATAATTCTATTACATTGTAGAATCATTTTGCTGTCTGAGATCTATCAAATTAATTAGTACATTTAATTCATAGTGATTGGTTGGTCATTATCCGTTCTGAAGATGCAGAGTTCGACATTCGTTAATCATATTGAGCTGATAATAGGGATTTCAACTTTCTTTTGAAATTCATCAGAGTGAATGTACTATAATCATGCGGAAGTTGATTATAGAACTTACAGGCATTGTACGTGAACGATCGCTGAAAAATTCATCCATAGTATCAAATGCCTCGTTGTAATCCAGCAGGATCAGACAAGTAACCTTTCCTTCATCAATTGCTCTAAAAATATCATCAAGAATATTTGTTAGAGCTGTGGTGGTGCTAAATCCTCCTCTGAAGCCAGACTGAATCGGTGGTATAATGTTATGTTTCATTACGTATTCATTGATTTGATCGTATTAAAATTTTTCAAATGCTTTAGCTAGAACTGGCTGAAGACTGATTGGTCTTAAATGGTTGATATTGGTAGGATTCGTTATTTTTGCCAAGGGGATCACAAGTGACAATTTCCAAGCCGTAGGGAATGTTGAGTTATTTATGCAATAATTGTATATGTATGTTATATAATTAACAAGAAAATTAGAGATCAAATTGAACATTTTCAAGGTCACTGAATCGGAGCCCACTGCTTTACTTTTTATTGAGTTTATACATTTAAGCACTTCCACGTTTTCCACAGTTCTAAACACAAAAGTGTCTTTCTGATTATATGAATCTTACTTATATGTATTGAGTAAGTCTGTAGGACCTTTGTCTGTACTACTATAACCAGAGCCGAAAAACAAACGAAGGATACTTTATTTTTGGGGTGTGGGTTCAACCAGTTATCTTGTAGTGAAAACTGCAGATTTACATGTCTTCAAAAAATTCGTCAATGGTTTAAGAAGGCTTTGGATATCAATTTCCTTTGAGTTTTGACTTTTTCGACAGGCATATTGAGAGTTATAAACATATCAATATTGAAATCTATGCCTTCTACTTGAAAAAGATAAACCCAGTAAAATAGTGCTATGCAACTTCGAATTTTTGAATGATATTATATATCAAGATGACATGTTTTACGTGTGATAATGTGTTTTGTTTTTTTCAGCCAGATAGTCCATACCAGGGTGGAGTATTTTTCTTAACAATACATTTTCCGACAGACTATCCTTTCAAACCTCCAAAAGTGGCATTCACGACAAGAATTTATCATCCGAACATAAATAGTAATGGTAGCATTTGTCTTGATATATTACGTTCTCAGTGGTCTCCGGCTCTTACTATTTCTAAAGGTTAGTAACTGTTTTGTGACGAATTTTTCCTTCAACTCTGTTCGCTCCAGTTCAATTAAAATGAAAAGCTCAAATCACAGAATGGGAAATCCCGAATGTTTGTTCCCTAAACCAGTTGTTGGGTTATCTGGAGTTGACACCCTTATCGAAATTATTTTGAACACTTGTTTGTGAAAACTTTGTTTTCATAGTTTTTATTTTTTCATGGCAAACTCATATTGATCTTATATAAAAATGATATTGAGATAAATATGAGAGTGTCCGTTGTCACTGATTTATTTCAACCAGTCTGATGAAAAATATTGCAATCAATTCATTCAGTTATACGTCATAAATAATTCACCGGCTTGGCTAATCTATAAAGTTTCAAGGTACAAAATGATTTGGGTTTTGTCAAATTTTCAGTGTATTTTTGAATGTTGTTTTCAAAATTAACTATATTTTTGCTTCGATTTGCCTTCGCGCTTATCTTGGAAGTTTTTATATGTGGTCGCAGGTTGTATTTCTGTTTTATCATGTTTGTAAATTTTCCCTGATAAGTGTCAAGGTTGTTCACATGAATATTATTCTTGTTTTCATTTTGTCCCTGCACCAGATTTACTTACATTTGAATTTTTGCTGCGATGTGCAAACTGAAAATGACCCATCGCCTTCGATAATGCATGTCGCAGTAGCAGACGAAACGCCAGGTATGAAAACCTGCAGACCACGGCTAATAAACCTGGTAACATCGGACACAGCATGATTCAAATGTTTTGGTTGATATCAAGCGGGTATTCTTAATCTGATGTGAGGATCACCTTTCAAGGTTCACAAAAAATAAGACTTGTTTTCAAACCGTTTCTTTATTATTTGAAATATTTGCTTATATACACTTTTGCATATACAGGGTAATTTAAATTCAACCCCCACCATTGGGATCTCCAAAACTACAGGACATACGTCGAAGCTTGAATTTGGGCAAAGTTTCTTTTTTTTTGTGCTCAACGAAATACTGTGCTTCTCATTTTGATTTCATCGATAAATGATTTTTTATGATTTGCTCTTCTGAAATCACATGTATTTAAAAAAAAACTTCATCTGAGTGCGACGCTTCTACGAGGTACCCTGTATATTGGAGAATATTTCCAAAAAACCAAATGCATTGTTATCCAACACAATTTCTAATGGAAATACATAAGTGGTCCCAGAATAGCCAGGCCTAACCTAGAAATGGTGGTAGTTTGAAAAATAGAAAGTTCACAATTTATAAAGCATATGTTTCAAGTTTGAAGACGCTGCCTTGTTGAGTATTTGTTTGGTAGTCATCATTAGCGAACGCTTTCGGTGAATTTGTTACAATGGAAAAAATTGGTCGTCTTTATGAAAGTCCTTCACCCAACCAATATAAAAGATAACCTGGATGAGTCGCTCCTTCGTTTACAACAGCAGCAGGGTTTAAACGAGGCCGTGCGAGCTGCCAGAAACGGTGAAGAAAATCTACTTAGCGGTACTGAATGATCGTCGACTGTAAGTGTACGGGCTAGCAGACTTATACGGCATTTCAGAAAGTGTGGTACATCGTATATTATCTAAAAATTTGGGCATGAGGAAGCTCTGTGCAAGATGGGTGTCGCGTTTGCTCATACTAGAGCAAAAACAGTGTCATGAAGGTGTTGCAATTGAATGTCAACGAAGTTTTGCAGCAGCAAAGCAGAATTCTTGCGTAGTTTCATACCCATGGATGAAACACGAATTTAAGTTTGAATTGCTACCTCGTGCGCCCTATTCGCCAGATTTAGCCCCCTTGGATTATTTTCTGTTCCCAAACTTGAAAAAATGGCGCAGTGGTTAAAGATTTTCCAATGATGAAGAAGTGATGTTGGCAGTCGATGGCTATTTTGAGGAGCACGGCAGTTCTTTTCATAAAAACGGTATCAAACTTACTGACCGTCGCTGGGAAAAGTGTATAGAGCTGCAAGGAGATTATTTTGAAAAATGAATACATTTTTTCCAAAATACACTGTACAGTTTCGATTTTGACAACAGGGTTGCTCCTATGCATATTTATTATTATCTACTATCTAACAATCATAGCTGTAATGTTATTCATGATAACCTACCATTCATCCCTGAAGATGACCATCATCCGGTTTTGAATATTTCTCTAGTATTTAAGAAACAGAAAAGTGTAATTCCGTTTGATGACAAAGCGTTTTTTTTTTTTTAATTTTCGTAAAGCTAATTTCCCTCTACTCTACTCTTTGTTTATGAATACAGTTTGGACTGTTATTGAAAACTGTACCTGAAGTAAACTTGGCAATAGACACATTCTATGCAATAATTTATTCAATAATGGATCAAAGTGTTCCTCTTGACCAAATTTTACCAGTAAATATCCATCCTGGTTCAACAGGGATACCATAAACGAGATCAAACTTAAAGATAAATTATTTAAAAGATTAAAATCAAATTATTCAGAAACTATACGTGATCAATTTAGAAATCTTCGTAGGTCAATAAAAACCCAGATATCACAAGCCTACAAGGAGTACAAACAGAAAGCAGAAAATTTCATCAGAACTGATCCCTCCTCATTTTGGACCTATACCTATATGCATAGTAAAAAAGGCACTTCAAGAATTCCGAATGTTTTATTCTTAAATGATAGAGAACTGAATAACCCTACTTCAATAGTGAATGCATTTGCTGAATTCTTTGAAAGTGTGTATGTTTCTTCTAATAGTAATAATAACCCCTGAAGTATCTAAAATATGTCCAATACTGAAATCATGGGCTCCAAATAACATTCTGAACTATCGACCCATAACAATTCTGCCCAACTTTGCAAAGGTCTTTGAGATGTGTCTGTATAACAACATTTTTCCTAGAGTGAGAAATAGTATAACTTGAAAGTGTGTATGTTTCTTCTGATAGTAATAATAACCCCTGAAGTATCTAAAATATGTCCAATACTGAAATCATGGGCTCCAAATAACATTCTGAACTATCGACCCATAACAATTCTGCCCAACTTTGCAAAGGTCTTTGAGATGTGTCTGTATAACAACATTTTTCCTAGAGTGAGAAATAGTATAACTTGAAAGTGTGTATGTTTCTTCTGATAGTAATAATAACCCCTGAAGTATCTAAAATATGTCCAATACTGAAATCATGGGCTCCAAATAACATTCTGAACTATCGACCCATAACAATTCTGCCCAACTTTGCAAAGGTCTTTGAGATGTGTCTGTATAACAACATTTTTCCTAGAGTGAGAAATAGTATAACTTTATATCAGCATGGCTTCATCAATAAACGTTCAACAATAACTAATCTCATGTGTTTTACACAGCGTTAGATAAACAGCTACAGGTGGATACAATCTATACAGACTTCTCAAAGGCCTTTGATAAATTGAATCATCAAATTCTACTGAATAAACTTGTTTCTGTTGGGTCCAATAGTCAACTGTTAAATTTACCACAGTCTTCAGAATCGTACACTATTTGTAGAATACAAAGGACACAAATCAACAGAATTCACTTCAGCTAGTGGTGCTCCTCAAGGAAGTAATAGCTCCTCTTCTATTTCCTTTGTTTATAAATGATATTGTTTCAAATTTCTCTAGTAACATATTACTCTTTGCTGATGACTTGAAGATTTTCAGACCCGTTGAATCAACCGAGGACTCTCTTATTCTGCAGAAGAAAGTTAATTCGATACATGAATGGTGCATACTAAACAAGCTTCCACTGAATATTGAAAAATGTAAATTTATGAAATACACCCTCAAGCACAACAATTTACAGTTTGACTATGCAATAAATGATGTCATATTGGAACAAAGCACAGAAATTAAAGATCTGGGCATCATATTCGATAAGAAACTTAGCTTCACGTCACAAATTAATCAAATCACATCTGCAAAAAAAATGCTTGGCCTTATCTTCAGGACGTGTAGAGACTTTCAAAACCAAGAATGTTTTTTATAACACTTTTTAATGTATATGTCCGATTTCGTCTGGAATATGGCTCCCTAATCTGGTCACCTATATACAAGGTGCATATAAAGCAACTCGAATCTTGTTAAATAATCTTTATGAAATACATGGCTTACAAACTGGATGGAACTTACCCATCCCAATGAATTGATAATAGAGTGTTGGTAAATAGATTTGCCCTCTAATCCTTAGAAAACAGAAGAACATATTATGCCTGTATCTTCATATATAAATTGATTCATAATCTGGTTGAATGCCCAGATTTGTCATCTCAACTAAATTTTCACGCACCGAGACGAAGTAGTAGAAACGAAATATTTTTCTATTTGCCTTTGCCTAGGATCAACGTGTTAATAAAATCCCCAGTTTATAACATCTGCAAAATAGTTTCTATTCAGTATGTGATATTTTTGTATAATTGTATAATATACTACTCTATTACTCTGCTGATTTTATATGCTACTAGTTGTTGCCTGCGGCTTCGCCCGCGTAGAATTTGGTAGTTGTAGTACTACGTTGCTGTATCGCTGCTGTTCCAATGTTTTACAGACTCAGAATCATCAAACTTAGGCGTGCAGAGCATTATAGAACAGTGCTTTCAAAAAATTGTTCTACAACGCCATCTAGTGGCGAGTTACAGAAAAATTGATAGCCTAAAAACCTCTATGGAAAATTACTTATACATGTCAAGTTTCATCACGATCTGTTGAGTGATGTAGAAGTTTATTTATTACAAACCAACAAACATTCATTTTTATATATTAGATTCGTTATATTCCATTGTACTCATACATAGTCATAGCTGTAAACTTAATTATATTTGTCTTGTAATTGGGATAACTCCTGTTGGACAAACTTTTTTTTTATTATTATCCTTATACGTTTGGTAATTAGAGACATAGGAATAAATTCATTTTCAATTCCAGTTTTATTAATAAACATTTCTTTTTCAGTACTGTTATCAATCTGCTCGCTGTTGTGTGATCCCAATCCAGACGATCCGTTAGTTCCAGAAATCGCTAGGATATACAAAACCGATCGGGAAAAGTACAACGAGTTGGCGCGCGAGTGGACTCGCAAGTACGCTATGTGATGGCCCGGCCCCCAAAATCCACATTTCACAGATTAGATGAAAAAAAAACTTTATTTCATTCAACACACTGGAGGGGAATAGCCAGCCTGTATTTCTCAAAACATTAAAAAAAATCAACAACATTCATAAAAAACATCAACTGTACATTTTGCTTTTTGGACATTGTGGTAGTTTATAATACGCAACACCCGCCGCCACAATATCATTCACTGGTTTTTTATACGAGACATTCTGATGATGAGATTTGTAACTGTATGAGAACCTAACTAGTTTTGAATATTTCGATTGTACGTTTAATATATTGTGGTTGTAAGGGGCAGCGTTGCTGGGTTGTGTTTTCTTTTCCCCCGAGATCGCCCGGCCTATTCGACCACACACACACCAACGTGTCCGCACTCAGACTCTTCATTATCGTTACTTCTCTTGTTAGATAAATTTATATAGTAGGTTTTGTGGTTTCGCTAAGTGTAATGTAATAAACATTGTTTCGACAGCGTTCAATCTCAGGTTTGAATACGTTTTTAGGGATCTCATCGGAACTAACAAAGACAGCAAAGCTGTTACTTAAACGTGGGCTTGAGATCACGTCTGCTTGCTCGGAACGCCGTGCTGCCAGTGAAAATCCGCCAAATTGTGACGCGGTTTAGCTCGACATTTATTTTCTTCCGATTTGATTACTAGCTCGCGTGGGTTTTTTTTAACCCCCCTGTTTAGGTGTTGCTGAACTTTGAAGTATAATATTTATTTGTTCAGACCGAGTTCGCGGTTCCAGGGCGGAATTCGCCATTTTCTCCGTCGTTTCCAGATAACACCGGATATCCTATGGATGTAAGGTGAATGTCCGTAAGACGTCCCTCAAAAGACTTAGAATGGATATCCTATGGACATCCGTTATATATCCAAAAAATATGCGGTGTCTTATGGTTGGCCAGGTTGGTATTCTTTGGACGTCCGTTGGATATCCGCGTGTTGTCAGTGTTGTGACAGATTTCTGTCCTGGAGCCTTGTGCGTACCGTCTGAAAATTTGTTTCATTTTCTCTTGCAGGTACGATTGTAATATTGAAGTTAACAACATGTAATAGTTTTTTATACATAAAATATAATGTGTAAAAAATCCATCTTGATGTAGTGGTTTCACTTCCCACGTTTCTCCAAGGGTTGTCTTTTCCCTCCTGATTTTTTTAACGTACCGTACACTTTGATAATTCTCTTGATTAAATTATTCAGTGTAAAATATCAAACCTATTATTACTTGATAAGGAAACTTAGGATATTTGTTATATATTTTTTCTCGTCATTAAACAGGACATAAAATACATTTAGAGTGTTTTTTCTTTACTAGCGTAGTGGCAGAGACTCTAAGGACTGTTTAGCCGAAGGAGACGATAATGTTAATTGAAGCTGTGATTTTTCTTGCTGCCAAGACGCTTTTGTCTGAAAAGCAATAACACTTGGCTTACGTTTTCATCAGATTTAGTTAGTATGGTAATAAAGATATCTAATCTGTTTATGGATTTTTGTCTCACTAACCTAAATGACGAAACATTGAATCAGATGTAGCCTGTCTGTGTTAGTATTTTTCGACTATTTGGTATTGTCAGCTGAAAAAGGTTGCATATTTTACAATTCCTGATAGCAGGGGAGCCCACGATGCAAAATGGGGATTTACTCGAGCGTCATTGAGACGTATTAGGTTGCAAAGCTTAGATGATTAGAAGAAAACAATGTTATATAATAGATTTTTTCGGCTATAAAAAAATACTGTTACATGGACATACTCGAGCGCGTCATCAATGTCCTACGTATTTTGAATAATGTTGGTATGTTAATCTGATCGTTGGCATGATGTGGGTGGTTGTACGTAAAGGTTAAAAGTGAAAAGAAAAAAATTTATTCGAGCGCGTCAGATTTTCTAAGGGGGTGTTGAGTGCAACAAAAAAAAGCTCTCATTTAATCTGACGATTTCGATTTGAGGCAAACTCGCGGCCATTATTATAATGTGCAAAAAAATTCGCCATTTTGAAATACTCAAGCGCGTCAGATAAGATATATATGGTTCATCTTTATGTTTTCGACGTGCTGTCTCATAATCTGACGATTATCAAGAGGGATTCGCTTAATCTGACAAAACAATATTTTTTTTAATTCATTGAATCTAATTAATTGAAAAGCTCAGGAAATAACATGCAAATAAATAAGTGTATGTATTTTAATGCTCAAAAAAATTAAATTTTTTTATAATCAATTGATTAATTAATGAAGAAAAGAGAAATCAAACTTTCTATGTTTTTACCACGTTTATTTGTAACTAACGTTACTGCAGTTTCGTCCTATAAGGACATTTTCAAACTTATATATTGTATAAGTTTGAAAATGTCATAGGACGAAACTGCAGTAACGTCAGTTACAAATAAAAGTGGTAAAAACATAAAAAGTTTAACTTCTCTTTTCTTCATTGTGATTTCCTACCACGTAGTAACGGCTACATCCATCAGTTAATTGATTAATTGATCTTCATCACGAACGAGTCATGGCAACAAAATTCAGAGTGGGGACGGAGTAAGAGAGTGATAGATAGAGAAAAAGTGAATAGAAACTCTGAGAGGGAAATATAGGTATCACACAGCCACACGCATTAAACTTTATCGACGAATTTTTGTTATTTCGGCTTGCGGAAATCGTCAGATTCCATGTTTTTCGTAATCCTTGAATTATTTCCTTCAAAATGATGAAAAAATTAGCTACGCTCGAGAATGTCGAAATGAGGTTATTTTTTACAACTTTGCAGCCCTCCCCTTTTTTTACGTCACTCTCAAATTGTCAGATTACTGGAATATACACTTTTCAGCAGGTAATTAACTCACCCCACCTTAATCTGACGCGCTCGAGAATTTCTGATGATCAATTTTGTTTTCTAATCTGATTCTATATCCTTCACAGGCGGCTTTATATATGGGGCTCATATTTGGTGGAGGTACTTAACCGGGTACAAGGTATCCCCCTGTATATTAATCTGCCGCGCTTTAGTAAATCCCGAAATCCTCGCTTGGGCTCCCCTATTATGAGGAGTGAATACGTGAGGGTTGATGGAGGAGAGGAATCTTGACAATCTATAGTTTTTGAGGACAGAACACAAGCACTAAAGAAAATCATCAGCGCCCTTTAAGAGTTTGGCGATTCACGTTGAACTTGAATCGCTGGAGACTAAATTCATATTTGGAAAAATGTTCTCAGAAAGTTTATTCTACATGTACCAGAGAAGTTCGAGGTGTACTGAGTCAAACCTCAAAACAATGAGCAGCCACAGTATTTTTTGGTGGAATTGAACACCGAGTCACTTGAACACCTCACGTGAAAATGTCTAAAAGAGAAACAAATCTACAACTTGTCTTCGGTGTTCCAGACTATCAAGGTTGGAAGTGATGTTCGCGTCTCCAATCAGGCGCCTCGCTTTTTTCTTGATGGAATCCAGCAGCTTCAGGGTATGCCTAGGGGCAAAGCTCCATACATGAGAACAATACTCCAAAGAAGGTCGGATCTCAGCTTTATAAAGCATCTGAGGTGTGTACAGTTTTCTAGTTCAGAACAGTGTTCCAAGCTTTTGAGAAGCAGCCTTTGTAATTCCAGTAACATGATTGTGCCAAGACATTGGTGTCCATTTTAACCCCCCAAACAAACTTATCGAAGCAGAAAGCGGAATTGTCTGTCCTGACATTATATCCGATTCGGAGAACTTTATTTTTTTGGGTTTACGTCGCATTGAATTGAACCTGATTACTCTCGCCCCCAATTCGAAATCGCCTCTAGATCCTCATTAAGATATGCAACCTTCTGCCGGTGAAGATGCGCATCTACAGCCAATGTCCTGGATTCCACATGGAACAAGTGAGCTTTCATCAGAAAAGCAATTCATTGGGTTCTTGGTATTTTCCAATAGGTCGTTGATTTACAATGAAGAGACAAATATGGGTACCTGGGGATGGTAAAAGTATTTGAGAGATATCCATCGAGGGCCCATTGCAGGAAACTGGAGAGCCATACATAGAAATAATCCGACAAGTCATATAGCATCGAAGCTTGTTCAGCAAATCCTCGTGCAACACACGGTCAAAAGCCTTATAAATATCAAGCGCAACAGCTCTTGACTCTTCATTAAGATTTCAATCTTTCCAAAGTCACGTCTGAAGGAAGTTCTTATATCGTTTATTTTCTATTTCATCACTTCTTGAGATTCGGTTGGGAACAACTCTTTAAATTTTTCAAATAAAATATCGTAACTTAAATTTCTTTTTATTTTACATCCCACGGGCAGCTGTTTTCTTTGTATACAACAATAAACTGTTCCCAGAACGTCTTATTTTTCAAATCCATTATAATGATATTAAATATATAAAACCTTTTTCCTAATGATTTGCCTTAAACGATATAAAATTGTAACTATGCCACAGCAATTAGCTCCACACGACAGTGGAGCTAATTGCGGCAGTACCGATGCATATCGTACTGCAGTATGAAAAATCGTAACGTGTGTAGGCCGTTTTAGTCCGACTCCTGATCAGAAAGAGGTCAGATGTCAATCTTGCTGAAGAGCCAAATGGGTTGAGGACCACTTCGAAGGCAGTGGGAGAGATTGCATTTCAGGATAGTTTTTTCTGTTTCAACTTCTTGTAGTAATATCCCACCACATTATTCAAACAGGCGAAACTTTCCAAAATTAGTTGATCTTACATTTATTGAAAATAACTAGAAAAACAAAATTTATAATAGAAAATAAGCTGTCACATTATTTCATTTTTAGCTTTATTCTTGGAGAATACAACAAAGAAGGAAAAAAGTATTGGTATTGAAATAATTCCTGCACGTTTTCGAGTAAAATGAACGCTTGAAACTGCTTATCGGAATAACGGCCTGAGAATCTCCAATATTTTGACAGTTCAGGATCATATCAAATTATTTTCATCAGCCAATAACTGTTTCCGTGGTGTAGTGGTTATCACATCCGCCTAACACGCGGAAGGTCCCCGGTTCGATCCCGGGCGGAAACATTTTTTTTCAGCACTTCAAATTTAATGAATAAATATAATTTCATGGAGACGATTCATTTTCAGTAAAATATGTTTATGTAATTGATTAGTTGTAGTCTTCACCATCTTCTAACTTGATTACCGAAACGCACGTCAAGAGAGTACCTAATTTTGTTCTGGTGTGGAAAAAGTATTGTCAAAAAATCATAGGGACTTTGTTTTCCACAAAACGAGAAAATTACTATTTTCATTTATTGGACGGGTTTTTATCTCTATTGTATGACTAGTCGAAAGCATATCGAAGTTGTGCAGACGATAAAAATTCGATAGTGACGTGAAGAAATACCATACTCATCGATCCTCAAACGGCACGTCACGATTGACGTGTGACGATCGATCATTGCCACTGAAGTAGCTTCAACGTCAAATGCTATATTGCATAACATCTTTCCACATTCTACTTAGATAAATGACACTAGGTTACTCAGTTGGGCCTTTGTTCGTGTCGGATCGGGCATATGCCGCTAGTCGAAAAAATGACAGGTGTTTTAATTGAGCAACGTGTCAATGTACTGGTCTACTGCGTCGTAAAGAAAGCAAAGACCTTAACAAAAAGGAAGAAGAAGAACGGGTCAATGTGAAATTGGCAGTGAAATTCGATAACGGTAAATCCCAAACTTAGACCTAGGTACTAATTCTCTCTAACAAAAAGTGTATGAGCATAATTCTATGTCAAGAACTTGGGTTTCTGAGTGGTGTGTGTAAAGGTTTCGAAGAAGGCTTCGAAAATGATTCATGCACAGGGCGCCCCTCAAATTCGAAAACGGATGGAAACATCGGGTAAAATAGGCAATAGGCAATCTTATTCGTAACCATCGCCGTTTGTATATCAAGGCGATTGCGAGACTTTAATAATCGACAAAAGATCAGTTTGACAAGCGTTACATGCACATTTCAATATGAGAAAAGTGTTTTTCAAAATGACGCCTCCAATCCTCATGTCTAAACGTAAAGCCTCATGAATAGAAATTTGTTCCGACATCTTGAAAAACATTGAGAAAAATACCAAACTGTTGAATTGAGTTATTACATATGACAGATCATAGTTTTTAGAAACTGAGCGCTAATCAATGTGCTGAAAGAGCCCATAGTTACCACGAATAAAAAAGCTCGAATGTCCAAATCGAGTATTCGAAACCATATATCACCTATGAAATTCTGTATGTAATTTGAGTTGCTGCAGAGCAAACTGTGAATAAATAATCACATCCTAAGATTTTACCCACTCTCCGTG